TGTGTTATCAACTCCTAGGTCCTAGGTATATATATATATATATATATATATATATATATATATATATATATATATATTGTATGACGTTAAACAGAATTGCAGTGTCAGGCCAACGATCTGCTCATTTCGTCGCAGTTGTTTCACGCATTAAATTTTGTTACTGGACAGTAAAGAATTAACTGGTTTAAAAGTCACTTTCATAAAAGTTTTCCGCCAGTAACTAGACGTGACCAACACCTAATACAATACAATACTTATTTACTTGATAGTTGAATGGCCCGTTTTCACTGGTTGTACGGGCCCAGCTTAATCTCCATTTTTGGAGATTTGCTGGTTAAGCTATTATGGTTCCCTGGAGTCCCTGGCTCAGTCTAGCCAAAGTCAGCCCCAAGTTTTCACCGCTACAAGCAGTCGCAGCCCTTGCGGATGAGGGCGACCCACCACAATGCGACTTTGATACTAGGACCGTGGTGGATCTTGGTATTGGTTTACTCTTAGCTAGGCTTCCCGATAGAAACGCCGGACTCCTCAGCTTTGGAGACCCTGCTAGAGGATGAATCCCACGCTGTACACAGCAGCCCGACACCCAGGAACACCTCCCATCCATAATAAGGCGGTAAACCGTTGCAAGGAATAACAATAGTAGTATGTAATAATAGTTATACATGGTATAGGTTCCTACGCTTCATATGTTTCCTCTCCACTTGACGACGGAAGCAAAGGCCCTTTTCATATACGCGACTTCTGAGTTCATATTCTCCTTCAATCATTGCGCAATTCACATAGATGATTACTATTATACATTTTTACTCTGGAAATCGGCAGAACTTGAATCGAACAGGATGTCAAAAAAAAATGGATTTGCTGGGTAGCTGGTGGTTTCGTTGGACCTCGAAATCGACTAGAAAATGGCTTGGAAAGAATTGTCTGTCCATACGTCCATAATCTAAAAAGACGGACAAGTGGGAGGTTGTAGTATGGCTTCAGCAGCTTAGGAGATATAACGGCTCAGCGTCACCTTTTGGTGCAATGAATAAAAATGTTTTCAGCAGTGCTGCCGCTTAACTAACATTGTTTGAAAGGGAAGAGTCGTACAATAGTGGAGTTCCTGAGATTGTCTTCTCAAAGGATAAGAACAAAAGTGGTATTTCTAACCTACTACTGGTCTAATGAATGCATTTTTGCACGACTGAGGCTATAGTAGACAACGTTCCAGGAGAACTGGTGATCAAGTACGACAATTTTTATGCGGATCGGGAGCTCTGACAAAATGTTTCCTTGGAAATATTGGTACAATGGAAGAGTCTGTTGATTTCGGGATCTGCAGTCTGTTTCGCTAATCTCTTTCTTAAGAAGTAAATGTGAGACACTTACTTTCTGCGTAAGTAGCTCAAAATACCAACACTGCCCTCATTTTCGGAGTCACTGAATACCGAATCACTGAATACTTCTTTTCTTTTCTTCTTCTTTCACCGAATAGCATCTGTGGTGCCCTCATTGCAATCAGAATTTCCAGCCACCATCTCCGACTCTAGCCAACCTCTAAGGTTACTATTAAAGCACTGGACGATGAACCTAATTTTGCTACCAATTTTAATACACCATGACGAAACGCTGCTGTACACGGAACAACCACGTATGACGTTGGAAACACGCGTTCTGCTATGTTTCCGTGATTATTTTTAGTTATCTACAGGACCCTCTCCCAACGGTTTACCGCTTCATCGTGGCCAGGAGGTGTTTCTGGGTGTCGGACTGCGATGTACAGCGGAGGATTGGTCCTCCCGGCATGGTCTCGCAACCTGAGAAGGAGTCCGGCGTTTCCATCAGGAAGCCTGGCTAAGAGAAAACCAATACCAAGATCCACCATCAAAGTCGCATGGTGGTAAATCTCCTTCTGATCCACAAGAGCTGAGACTGACTGTCGTGATGACGACCTGGGGCAGACTTTGGCCAGGCTGTACTCGGGATTCCATGGAACCACAATGGCTTAACCAGCAAATCTCCGAAAAATGGTGATTATGCTGGGGTCCTCACAACCAGTGAGGACGGGCCGTTCAAGTATCAAGTAAGTATCTACAGAACAAGCATTATCACACATTGTCACACTTAAGGAAACAAGCGCAAATCCATTCAAGGATAACTCAACATTTTTCGCAGTTCCTTGCACCTGATGCCATGTCTGACTCACATTTCTTCATGCCATTGAAGATGTAGTTCCATGAAAAGTTGACTCCAATCCGATTTCTTCCTCGGTAGAATCTGAGTCGCAAAGCGGAAAATCTCCCTCTGTATCACAAGGACCGGTGATTGCCAATGATGAACAGCTAGAAGCATTAAAATATGGTTATCTGAAAATCGAGAGAAATTCATGATCGATCAGCGCTCAAAATCTCAATAGGAACAATTGTATCTTCAGATCGCAGCTAAAACCTCGGAGGAAGTCCAATTTTGGATGAGGGGTTGTGAGGAAATAAAACGAATGGAAGAGGAGCTGCAGGAGACCTGAAAAAAAAGTACGTTTCAGTACTTCATTATTACTAATACTATTATCATACGCTTTGGATGATGTTCAACTAATTAGCTAAGGTCCTAGAAATCTCGCGATTAACGCTAACCTTTACTACGAAGACATTAGACAATGGTACAACAGTTATGATGTCAGCACTCATCAACAAGAGTAGATCCCTCTATACAAGAACTCTAGCCGACTCCTATCGCATCTTGAAACGACGACACAGTCACTATGCAGCTCCATTGCCATCATTACGATGAATAGGATCAGACACGGACATCATTTCGCCAATGCAATTCACCACTACATTGTAGTCAATTAGGAAGTCGCTTGACATGACAAGGACGGCGAATATTTGTCAGTAATTCATGTAAAACCGCTGTTTCACTGGCGAAAGTCGTCGCTCTTCCAAGTATTTATCAGTGAAGTTTAATAATACCCAGGAAGCTTAACTAAGCGGAATAAAGGATAAAAAGGATAAAGCTCTCAGTGTTGATTTATCCCTGAGTGATGCGCCATGCATTCGACTTCATTAAGCATCGTTGGAAGTGTCCGAATGTATATCTGACCTTTACGATGACTCGCGGTGGCCTAGCGATATATTGAGCTGGTGCTGCTATCCTCCCAGACAAATCTGGTTCTAATTTGCCGAGCCCGGAGGGTGGAAGGCTTGGTGGTCCATGGACGCTGGGATCGATCCCATGTGTGTTACAGGGCACCTCCGACGACTGCGCCACACGCCCTTCCGCCCTAAGCGGAATGTAAGGTAAAATCCCAAGTAAGATAGAGCAAAACTGAACTAACCAAAAAAAAAACCAGGAGAAACCGAAAGCAACACTCTTCCCTAGTATACTTCTTATTTTTTATTTTTATTCCATTTTCCCATTCCATTCCATTTTTTTATTTCTTATTTTTTCTTATTTCTTATTATTTTTTTCTTGTTCCCTTCACAAGAACCTGTCCACAGTTCCGTCACACCTATAGTTCTCAGGATTGTCGGCACAATTCATGAACTAGTGATACCTAGTCACATCTGACCGCGCGTCATAAAGTTCCCTATTTAGTAGTGGTACCGGCTTTCTGGAAAAGTTCCAGGTGCAGGGGAACAGTTAAATTATTATGGCGTAACATAATTAGACACTCAACTTCCTAAAAATCAAATTCACGCCCGATGCCTTCTAAACTCATTTTATTAAGCTCCTTGAATGCAAGGAAAAAACAACAAACAAAATACCATAATTGTTATAACAAAGCACTAATAAATACGTATAAAAATCAACATTATTAATATCGGTATGTACTGATCTTCTTAGTAACTTTGTACAAGAATTTATACGGTAACAACTAGTCCAATACTGCATGGTTCACAAAAGAAAAAGCATAAGACTTCGCCACCGAGAATGACCATGTTAGCAGGACTAATATCTTCAGTGTTCTACGAAGCACACATCATGCAGAATAGCACAGCTACGTACAGTTATGACCAGAAAAAGAGGATAGCATTACGTCCATTACATCAGTGTTCAGTCAAAACCGACATCAGTGTGCAAAGCTCTTATTCGATAAGATCATTTTTAAAATCGGATAGGAACCGTACACGCACATAGAACTACACTCGGTAAACAAACAAAACAGTACAAATATTACGTTAAATAAAAAAACCCTATAAAAAATCACAACGAACCTTCAGTTCTCGAGAACTATGTGACACGTCAATACACTAGCATCACTAAGATAGAAACGTCAGGAAGACGTCTCAATAAAGTATGAGCGTAAAATCGAATGATGATGTGGTGTGATACAGCAAAGTTGTGAGCTCTAATGTTATATGTATTTTAAAACAAGCCGTGTAAGTACTTTTCTCAGAAAACAAGTCAATCAGATTCCAAACTTTTCATGTACGAGGGCTCGCGCAAGGAGTAAGCAGCTCCGGAGTGCTTGGGAACACGAGATCTTCATTTCCAATCAGTGGTGAGCAATCGAACTCTAAAGCCGGGTGAAGATTAGGGTGTATCTCGTTTTCCACCTCCTGTGTCTTCGATGGAGACGAATTGACAGCAATTAGTGGTCCACCCTCTAACGCCAACCGTGGACTCGGATATGTAAGGACGCCGGGCTGCTGCCCACCACCGGTTAACATTCGATCGGCATAGTCGCTATAAGTCGCAGTGCCACTCTTATTTACCTCCTGTTGATTTTCATTTTGCGGATCTTCTAGTTCGTCGTCAACGCCCAAGGTCTGTAACCGTGAATATATAAGTTTTTGACATGTTATTTTAAACAGTTTAACAGTACGAAAGGTAGTCGAAAAAGTTTTAACTTTTATTTACTGCCTATCATTCTTTCATGGCAGGGTATGATGTGAAATACAACCACAGGGATGCTAAGATATGAATAAAACTCGAAACCTAAGGTGCATCTATAAACTGCGAGACGATAAACTGTTCGGTTTTGATCAATTCTTTAGAAATGCGCCATACGTTTCGACGTCGTCTCGAAAAGGTAGTTAGATACATATTGACCTAGGCTACTTGCGATTGCTTATTCATATATCAGGTCAGTGTTTTTACTCCTTCAGACCGGTTTGGTTCTACACTGCAAACCTCAGAAGGATGGGAAACATGGTGTACGCGGAAGAAAGATTGGACAAGAAATCATTGCAGGGCACCTATAGTGCTCACCCAGTAAAGAATTAGGCGAGTAATACACTTCAATGAAGCCATATTTCTCGGGACACAATCTATGGATAGACCCATGACACTAAACCAATCATGATTGACTTACGCACGGAAACACCCGTTATTCTACAACTCAAATTTACATCCACTATCCCAGTGAATTTACAAATAAAACAGAAATGTGGCAGCGATTTTTAAAGAGACTAAATTACCGATGTTTCTTCAGCTCTATAGTAAAATATATTTCAGTACATGAAATCTTCTCACTTCTGAGATTCTCAGTTTACTCACATCAAATATATTGAAATCCCAATGGCCTCCCAAAATGTCGCGACAGCCTTCGAAACCCAGATCGATTCCGTTGAGATATTCTTGGAAATCCTGAAAATAGTAGTAAGTTAAAACTGATAGTATAGCCTCCAATGATAAAGAAATGATACGTTTGATATACCCATTCAATTAATCTTCACTTTCACATTCATTCTCCACAGTGAATGAAATCTTTCTGGAGATGTTAACTAACAAATGAAGTATAATCTATAAGAAAGATAAATATGGTAAAGATTGGATAAAACAGCAGATATTAACATTGGCATACATTTTTCACACGTTTTACCTACCGACATCATTCTTCTGTTCTATTCTATCATAAGCATCACTACCTATCGTTTAGGGTAGGCTAACACAGTAATTGTTCATTGATAAAACGAAGCTCATAATGATGGATATTTGGGTAAAAAAAGAATATTTGACTATCAAATTTGTAAATGAATTAAGGAAAGAAACCAAATAAACCATAGCAAATAAACAATGTTCTGAAAAACAAGAAATTCTGCTACGATTTGGAAGTCATTAAATAAGAATTCTGATGGTCATTTGAACATATAGGGAAAAAGGCAGAGAAAGACATGTTAAGAATACAGGTGAATCACAAATAGTTCATAAGAAATTTATGACGGTTAAAATTTGAAATGGGAATTACATCACATCTTAAAACTATAGGTTGTGACAATGAGGAATATACAACGAATAGAACGCATCATCACTATCGCCACCCATAACGGTTTTCAGGTGCACAGAAACCAACCTGTGAAAATTGCCTTTCAAGTGAAGGTGATAAAGTGATCGAGGGCGACGGCGATGTACCAGATGTCTCAAAAATAAATATTGGTAGAAAATCTTAATGGCTACTGTTAAATATGAAGCACATCATTAGGGAAATATACGGAATAGTAAAAATTCTGAAGAGAAATGACAAAGTATCTCATCATTCATGTTCCAGCTTCTACAAACACAAACTTATAAGTTAAGTGGGATTCCCAACGGTGTACCACCTCAACGTGGCTGGGAGGTGTTCTTGGATGTCGGGCTGCGACGATGCACAGCAGGGGGATTCATCCTCCCCCCCCCCCCCCCCCCCCCCCCCCCCCCAACAGTCTCCCAAGCAGAGAAGGAGACCGGTGTTTCCATCAGAAACCCCATCAAAGAGTAAACCATTACCAGAATTCACCATCGTCCTGGTATCAACCTAGTCGCATGGTGGCAAGTCTCCTCCTGATCCACAAGGGCCGCGGCTGCCTGTGGTGGAGACGATCTGGGGCAAACTTTGTCCAAGCTAACCTCGGGACTTCAGGAAAAAAAGCAATAGCCAAACCAGCAAAACTTCGAAAAAAGGAGATTATGCTGGGGCCCGGGCAAACAATGAGGACGGGCTGTCCAAAAAATATCCAAGTATTATAAATGGGAGACTGGCAAGAAAATTGTTCAAAATGGTGGACACGAAAAATTGCCTTATTTCTTTGCGAGTAATGAGTAAAAGCAGGAGATATCAAATGGTTGCTTTAAACTAGTTATAAACACGACTTCATTGTAGAGACGACTAAAAAAGAAGCAAAAATATTGGTGCATAAGAAGCCCTATGAAGCACTTTACATCTTGCACGCACGAAAGAAATGTAAAAGTGGAGAAGTACGAACAAACCTTTGAAGGATTCGGAGTATCTATGATATTACAATCACTGTTTTGCTGCACCTGTTGAGTGGCCAGACCAACAGCAACACTGCCTTTGGCCGCCGGTGTTGAACTCATTTGTGCATTTGGAGTTGAAAATGACATATACCTGAAAAACTGACTCACTGGGTGTATTTCTGCATGGATCTTCTTAAATAACACTTTTAAACATTGCTCCGCGTCTTTTCTTTCTCAACGAAAATCCCTAGAACAACGGTGGCGGTGGAATATTTATTTTGCTTACCACTCATTCAAAATACAAATAGTCGCAGCCCATTACAATCAATCTGGTATTTATGAGGATATTCACGATTTTCAGTGACCCTCACATGGAATGACACCTAATTTCTCGTCTTGCGCAGTGCTCATTAAAATCGATGCATACCGCTATACGTTGCTGCTTTTACGCTCTCGACCAATCATGTGCTGAAACGGATCGGTCGAGCGCCATAAAATCGAAATACTGTGGTTTCATGAAGAGTAAATCCGATACCACAATTTCAGATATGAAACAAAGTACGAAGAGAAACTTAGCACTAGGTCACAATTCAGGAAACAACTTTAATTTGATTGCTTCAATAGTGGATACAAAAAATGTGAACTCAGCGTGAAAAGCATACACTGTATGTAAAGTACGCAGGTTCTTTGCAAACTGTAATAGTTCCAAATGCACTGGTTAAAAGGAACCCATGAAGCTCATTGGCTCCTCTGTCGAAACGTCTACTTACAGCTACAGCGGAGACATTTTTCTAGCCCCGTAGCCACTAAGAGTTATTACACTTACACAGTTGGCAGGAAAGTATCTGCGAGATTTGTTTAGACGACCAAAAAAAGATAATGTGTATAGAAAATAGCCGTCATCGGGTTACGCCTGGTACAACAGTAAAGTTACCAATTTCGCACGAAAGGTATGGAAAAATTCAACAAAAATGTATGGCGAAAAGGTGTAATCGGAAAAAAGCGAAGTGGTATCACTACATGATATCCAATGTGCATACCCACTAGGTGTGAATGTGTTAATTGTGCAGAATACGTTAATTTTCGCCTACCCTTTATTACTACACTGCTTTGTCTTGTTCTGCATCTGATTCGGTGGGCTACTGGATGACGATGTTGTTGGAACCCATTCATCGGTAATATCGGCGATAATGGGACCATCGCCACGAGTTGCAGCGGCGGCAACACCTCGAATCCCACCAATGTCTAGCATTTCCCGTTGAAGACGATCGAGAATCTGTGAGATAACACAAAAATAAATGGCTTAGACTAAAAGTCCTAAGTGGAAAAGTCCGAAAATGAAATACAATAAACGTAATGCGTCCATAGAAAACTGTAATATCACAACCGTTTTTGATAAATATGATAATAAAAAACTCGTACATCTGTCAAATTGGATGTGTTAGAATTCGAGTTTGCATTCATTCGCATACGCTTTTGAGGTGGTTCATCAATCGCCAATACTCCTCTCTTCATGACGCGCTTCGCTACAGTTGAATTGGGTTGCATCATTGCAACGAGAAACTGGACCAACTGGAATTAACATACTTCGGAAACGGCAGCGTTGGGTTCTATAGAGGCCAAAAAGAGACTATGAAACATTTTTAAGTAATCTGGCGAAATACACCTCAAAAATAAAAATATCACACTTAACGAGCAAAGAAATAATTGACCCCATTCGGATTATATTTGACATAATTCACGACGGACATAACTAGTTCCTTAAATCTACTAATGTAAAAAATTTTATATGAACGCCTTATTCCACACAAAAAGAAATAGAAGAAACACAAGGTACTGTACAATTTTAAGTAACTGGAAGAAAAACTGCTTCTGGTTAACATGAGTATGTCTCGAACACCAAAGGTTGTCAATATTTTAAAACGACGAGAAAAAACCTTATGAGTATGAGTGCTTCGACTATCTTCGTTGACATTGCTTGGAGAGATGGCTGCGATTAGGTGCAGAAAGATAACTGTCTTTCAATAGAGAAAGAGAAAAAGAGGAGGAAAGGAAAATGGTGCGACTGAAAACAGACAAACAGGAACAAAAGAAACATTTGAACTCCTGGCTGAAACTCCAGGCAGAGCGATATTATGGCTAATCAAAACAAGTCCTTTAGTCTGTTTCAAAGTTACATTCAGTAGGTGACACCACCCAGCACACATAGTTACGTTATTAGTTTAAGTCGTTGGATGTTTCGTAAAACACCTCGCAGTGAAAAGTCGCACAGATCGTTAAGAGACACTCGAAAACTTACTGGTTGTACTAATTCACCCTCTGCCCTATTATCAGTGAACGAAAATACCAAATCAGTTGGAAATTAAAAAGACCGTCAGAACTAACACAGTTCCAAGAGCCAAAAGTGAATAGGCTTCCACTCCATGAAAAATAGAAGTTATTATCGAGGTGAATATTGATTCAACAAATGAATTTCTGTCATGACCATGCCTTCCTCTGTGCGTCCCAATCGCAACAGCACGACTCTGAGGAAGGCGAAATAGCCGAACAACAACAACAACGATGACAACCTATACTAGCCAGGTAGCAGCTGAACAAGAACAGTTCGCAAGAACATAAAAAGATAAAGTTTTCTGCACTGATCAATCTCTGAGTGGTGCGCTATGCATTTGACTTCACTAAGCATCGTTTAGAGGTGATTGAATGCATATCTGGCCTTTACAATGACTCGTGGTGGCCTACCCAAGTATCGAGCCAGTGCTGCTATCCTCCCAGAGAAGCGTGGTACCAATTTGTCGACCCCGGAGGGATGGAAGGCTTGGTGGGCCATGGGGTCGGAGATGAATTCTGTCCGTGTGCTACAGAGCGCCTCCGACTACTGCGTGACATGCGCCCTTTGCAAGAACATATATATATCTTTTGATACTACGCACCTGTCTACGAAGCCGACAAAACCAGATGTTCGCCAAGTGGAAGAAGTGCGAGACGAAGGAAAACTTTTGTGCTCAGTATTTGGAGGACCGCCTCTGGAGGAGAATAGTGGGCAGGCTCTGAGGAAGGCAAAATCCGACGAAACGTCAGCTTATTCGTGAATAAAGAATAACAACACCTCGCGTTTGCTCAACAAAAATACGAAGAATTACTTGATCAATGCCGAGGTTAAAAGAAAGTCGGTCGTAGGAGTTATATCTTTTGACTTTGGATTCCTCACTGAGAGCGGATCTAGGGGAAGGACGCCCTGTTTCTGCTGAATTGATTTGACATATACCTTCTGCGTTAAGTCTGATTCTTCTACGAAGACATATTCAACCATGCATAAGATATTGTGTTCTCGTCAATGCGGATTGCACTCTGCAAGTCAACTCGATCAAAAGTCTGCGATCGCTTAACTGAGAAGTACATGGGAGATGGTCATTTTCTCGGCTCCGAAAGAGCTCCGATAAGGTAGTATTAGGTAGGAAGAGTATGGAAGGGCTGCTAAAAACTCGGGCCCATTCTGGACCGTCTAAATTTTGACGACTAAGGATCTGTACCTATAATGCGTGTCCATGTGGATAGAAGTCCTCTGGTGAGGATTTGATATGCCGTCTAGAAGAATAAATCGATATTAACACACCAAGACGTTACCTGCCAGAATACAAGGTTATTATTCAAGACCAACAAGACCGTGTTATTGTTAAAGTGGTGACCTCTATGATATCAACAACTATCGCCCAATCTGTTTGTTGCCTGTTGCCCATAAACTCTTCATTCGAACCCACAAAAAGATTAATAGAACACTAAACGAAGGACGACTATACGACACATCAGGATCGGGAATATCAAGAAGAAAGATCCGAAACGCTTCTATGCACCCCATAGCGTGCGTCGAAAATCAGGTTAACCAAACATATGATGCACTTGAACGAGAACAAATGGATAAGAGCCGCTAGTGATTGGATTCTTTGGGCTGTCAAACGCAAAACAGGTAGACCACCGACCCTATGGTCAGACTCCTTCATGAGTATTCTAGAAAAAATGTGTGGTGCCCTGCCAGTTCTTAAACTAAGTAGAACCTGTTAAGCTACGTTTGCACACGACAGTGAAAAATAGAAAATTTATTGGCGTCCGCACAAATTAGTCGACGATCAGTGGGACAACAGGTGAAGGTTGATGCTCCGATCTAGAAGTGTGCGAGTAAAAGATGACCTTATGTTTCACCCATTTTTTACGTAAATAAAAAACGACCTCAATCGTACAAATTATATGATCTTCGTTAGTGTTCTAATCATGCAGGCTTGCGTTCATGTGCAGCTTTGCATGAAAACGTGAATATGTTGAAGTGTACCAACCATTTTGACAATGTATAAAGTCAGAGTGAACTAAAGAACTAAAGAGTGGTTTGAGATCAATAAGAACTCAAGATTAAAATGAGTTAAAGGAAGTGTGTTAAAGAGAAGACAGGAAAACCTTACCTTCGTAACAACTTGCTGTTGGCGGTTATGTTGCGCTCGTAACAACGTTATTTGCTCCCAAAGTTGTTCGTTCTCTCTAAATAATAAGAAAAACCCGTTGTTTGAATGATCTACATTCAGAACAACGATATACTAAAATACCACATACTTGACAAGTTCATGCATCTTATTATCCATATTACGCTGTTTTTCCCGCATTTGACGCAGTTCTTCCATAACTAATTGGAGAGTGGCTTGAGCTTGTCCATTATTAGTGGAGTTCTCAATCGTCCGTGTGGACTGCTGCAATACAGTAACTCCTATATCAAAATAAAGTCGTAAGTCGAAAAAACTGCAGGTATAACTCCACATTCTGCCCTGACCAGAAAACTGATATAAAGTCAAAATTTCTTATGCCCTAGGAAGACTACTGCGAATCCTTAAAATCACGTTTCCCCTTAAACCCTCCTTTGTACGGAAACAACTACAAACCGTCTTCGTATACGTGGACATAAAAAATATAAATACCACTTCTTAGTAATACTCAAATGGTAAACCATTGAGGTCTCTTTATAGCAGAAAGGACGACGATCATTCCTTCAACTACTAAGAATCGAACCAACTTCGCCTGACAAAAATGTCTATCAACAGTAGGCATTCAGATAAACCGATACAACGTGGAATTCCTTGGAGGGCAATTTATGTCTTAATTTCCTAGTTCAAGCACGAATGACACAAAAAATTAAAAGGCGGGCATTCCCTCATTCTTAAATGAAGATAGAGCTAACAAATATAAGAATACCTTCCTCTTGATGTTAACGAGATATTCCGGATGGTCCCGAATAAAGTAAGGATGACTAAATTCCAAATGATCCTGGTCAGATTCCGTTCGTGCGAGTGAGCCCCTGTCAACAGGCGTCATTTTCCGAAAACCATCTGGAAATATCAGAAAGTATATTTACAGTAATTTTGAGCAGAATGTTACCATCCAAAAAAAGGAAAGGTATGACATCACAATATCACGATAGGTGGAAAATTTCAAAAATAATCAGTAATTCCATCTCCCAAAACTAGGGTGTCTGCCCCAAGATTAGGATGTTTTCTTGGGTCTACGACTAACCATGTACAGGACGGGTTCGTGAATAAGCAAGGTCACCTAAACTAAGAAAAATTTTGACACCTGCAACAGGAACCCCAATGAGGAACAACTCTATACGAGAGATTAACGGGTAGTAACTTAATCGTAAACCTCTATCCAATCAAAAGTAGTCGATGAACATCTGGAAAAGTCAGTGCTATCTATCGAAAGACGCAGATTTACAGGTCAAACATAAACTACGCGCTTGGGAAGAAACTACAAGATTCTTCGTGAAAACAGTCATCTATGTATAAGTCAGTAAGAACCTTTACCTAAAATACTTGAATTGACAGAAAGCATACAGCAAGAAGACATAAAGACCATTCAGTCCCTTTGGGAAAATAAGTGCGACACTTACACATATTTAGTTGTCGAATTAGGCTATTCAAGTTGTTATGCTTGAAGAAGTGTGGGAGAACGTTGCGACAAAACGAATATGGATCGATTATATGGAAGCTGTATCCCGACTGAAAGGAAAAGGTTACCAGTATCGACAAATTTATAACAGTTCGTCGTCATGTGTTCTACAAGAACCTTCAATGTTCAACATGATGATAAAAGGAACAAACAAAACTAATTACCTCATCCCAGCGCACAATTTGCTGATACTGCGGGTCCTCAACAATGCTCCACAACTTGATCAAAAACAGCGGCATCTTTTCGTCATCTTTAAAACATGGAAGTTGGGTAATCGGCTGAAAACAAACAATTTTCCAGTTCTAACTCAAGCGTTAGCCTAAGTGGTATGATTCATCACTATACTTTTTTGGGTTTGTTTACTAAGTAAACATTGCTGCACAACTTTCACTTCCTGGCTCATCAATTATTTTCCAGTAACTAAAGAAGACTGCTGCTTAATGTGAGGAACCGTCCATTTCCACTCGAAAACAATGTATTCAAAATTAGCGCATCAGTTCCGTATTTTAGTCGTAACATGCACAGGCAGCAAAGTAAATCTGCTTTTGAGCTTTCCAATGGAGTTCATAAGTGTACCTTACGTGGAAAAAAAACGATGCACTTAAACAATGCCAAGAGAGAATCATACGATCCATTGCTTCCACTTACCACCCGCACATCAACTGTTTCGCAATCTTTATTCGTACGCGATGATGCAACTCCAAATACTCCGCTAAGAACATACACCCTCACTTTTAGCTGTCAGTAAACAAAAACGTGAAAAAGAATGATGTTATTATCTACTCGAAGGATAAAAGACAAAGCTCTCGGCGCTGATCAATCCCTGAGCGATGCGCCATGTATTCCACTTCATTAGGAATCGTTTGGTGACTAAATGGATATCTGGTCTTTACAATGACTCGCGGTGGTCTACCGATGTATCGAGCTAGTGTTGCTATCCTGCCAGACAAGTCTGGTACCAATCCGCCGACCATGAAGACATAGAAGGCTTGGTGAGTCACGGGCGCGGGGATCGATCGCATGTGTCGCAGGACGCTTCCGACCACTGCGCTACACGCACCTCCCGATGGATAGTAGTACTAAATTATGCTTCTCGAAGATTATTTCTCTCATTTTACATGAGTCATCACATCTGCCGTGCGGATCGCCCTTCTTGCATTCCACTCCGCTCCTCGCATCGAACATCCACAGTAGTCTTCGAACATTTCGCATGTTGTCTCAGCTTCCGTTTGAGGATTTCGTCTTCTTTATGAATGTCGTAGAATGGTGGTCGACTCAACTCTCCCTGCCATTCTGGGGATAGACGGGCTAAGGCGTTCCCACGTCGATTGGAGGAAAGCGTTGAAAGATTATGATCATAATTTTTAAAAAATAAGCCATAACTCAGTAAGTTGAAAATAACATTTTTACTCCAAACATTTAACTACCCGTATCTCTTAAAAAACTACATTTTTAATAGGTGGACGACACCGACTGTTAATTTAGAACAACCACCGCTTCCAATCATGCAAGCACTTAAACAATGCGAAGTTTGTTTAGTCGAAAATGACCTGAATCCACTTCGGCAACTATTCGAATAATGAAAGAATTTCTGAATAAAGAACACCACGAGTTTTTAAAATATGAATGAAATGAGCACTTAAATAACTGTATGGCACTTCTTCAAACGTCATGCGAACTTCAACAGTCTCTATTTGAATTGTACTTTTCTAACATGACAAAGTTGTTCTCAGAAATCCAAAGCTTCTCTTTCACTTAGACTTCTCAAGAACGGCGACGGCGATAATTAGAATATATCTAATCCTCGGTTCTGGAAAAGAATGTCAAACACTTTGGTCTATCCTTGCATTGCAACTCTATATCGAAGAACACCCTCCAAAAATAGCTAGCATTCGAAAATGCAATTAAAGAAATCTTTGCATTCCTCAGTTAAATGCAATATCAACCACTGAACGTAATCTTCACTTCAAGAAGTAACGGGATCTCTCTGACATTAACGTTCAGTGCGAGATGATGACATTCAGTATGCGCAGCCCGCTGATCCCATCCCAAGTTCACCACGCCTCTCATCTCTTCAGAGTCCAGAAGGTGGTACTAGACTTGTCTAGGACGGGATCAGCTAGATCCCTCCAATCCACAAAATATGATTGCCTGTGGTGAAATTATGAACACGCCCTAGCAGGGCCATCTCAAGAGTTCCAAGAGAATCGACTTTACCCGCGCTCAATGGAATTCTAAAGGAAGATCAAAGTTCATCAACAAGCAGCAAAGCCGTACGGGCTCGCTCTATAGAGTAACATAGGAAGAAATCTAGTCCTACTGATAATTCTAATCTAGTCCCACGCCGTTTGAAATATTAAGCAAAACAAAGCGCACCTGTTGCCGAATCGGTGCGACAATGACATGCGGAACATCTTGCTGTGCGATCACCTCAACTTTCGGTACCCGATTGCAATACATTTGTGTTGTCTTCGGGTCGTATAGGACAGTTACAGCGACGACCCTGAAAAATGAAATCAGAAATGAAACTGACTAACGAGTAAAAACAACGAAACCATCATATATTTACACAAACAGTATGTACATATAAGGGAATGGTTCTCGTAATTAAAACCAGCAGGTTTATTTTCTACTGTCTACACAATCTCCACGAAGAACCTCGCAAAAAAGCAAGAAACTAAACAAATATGATACGAAAACAATGATCCATCATCTGATTTCTGAGTGACGGCGTTATCCAAGAAAACACGGACGGCAACTGTGCTCGAAATTCATCTAACGGAGGCGGTGATAAACTTGGGACAGATTTTTGTAGTCGGAGCGCGGTTTCCCGTGAGTTGCAAAACAACGGATTTCGTGGCATAGCTTGGCGTCGGGCGGAATGCTGAAGATTCTTCCGAGAGGTTACAGATCTGTGCCAACGATATGTTGAAAGAATTAGCATGAAACAGTAGACTACTAGATATTAAAGTTGGTTGGAAGATAGCACCATCAATCGATTCGTCAATTCTCCTCCCAGGAGGTGAGAAAACAACATGGTTGACGAACCATAATTCGGTACTGCAACTCCCTTTCTCACTGAGAAATCGTCTAGCCCTGGGTGTTAATTTCTGAGCTTGCTTCCTACACGTTGATAGATGACTATCGTCGAGTACTTTAAAGTTAATTCTTCCGAATTTGTTCACTACATTTCTTAAAGTTCTATACGACCTGTCTTCGCTTCCACTTTGCCAATCTCAGCACTTCTCGCATTCGATTCTTGTCCTCGCATCCATTATCCACGAGGCTCTTTCAACTTTACCTGTGGCTTCGACTGCTGCTTGACCGTTTTTCCTTTCGTCTTGAATGTCGTAGAATGCGGGTGGAGTCGATTCTCCCTGGAGTCCTGAGATAGCTGGACTGGAGCGTTCCCAACTGAATTGCAAAGAGTAATTTTCTCCCGGACAAATCCGTTCCAATTTCCGGACCGCGGAGGGATGAGTGGCTTGATGGGCCCGAAGCGGGTTCGAGCTAGAACAGTGCTCGTGATGATCGGCATCCCTACCATTGTGCTATCTTCCCCTTTTATTCATTGCAAACATTTTATAAGTTGTTCAGATGTTGCGCACTTATTTTGTTTGAGAAGATACTACTAGTATATTAGCATACTAGAAGGAACATCGTACAATCAATGTCTAGAAAGTAGCCTTCCTGAACAGTAAAGTTCCTAGCCCGAAATCCATTGCTATCATTTTCATACAATCCGTGGAATCGACCCCTGCTGTGCAAGGCGAGAGCCGTGACTTGTTAATCGGTTATGCAAATAACTTTGTTAATACAGAGAGACGTGCGAAACAAAGGACCCGCATGGTGTGGTGGTGAACGCGTTACTCCCCGGAAAGGATAATAGCGCGTTCGTTCCCCACCATAGACACCTGCGGTCCAGAGTTTTGCAAATATCTCAGCAACGTTGTGGTTGTATTTCGCTTAATAACCTGCCATGAAAATTATAGAAGGCAGAAAACAAAACGTTAAACATTGTGATTTCAACTACAGCCATAGCTTAACTGGGTTCTATGCCGATTTGCGCTACCCAGATCAACCCCGCTGACGGGTGATTGCTGTGGCAAAAAGATCGATAGAAATAGCTGAGAGACGTGCGAAACAAAGGACCCGCATGGTGTGGTGGTGAACGCGTTACTCCCCGGAAAGGATAATAGCGCGTTCGTTCCCCACCATAGACACCTGCGGTCCAGAGTTTTGCAAATATCTCAGCAACGTTGTGGTTGTATTTCGCTTAATAACCTGCCATGAAAATTATAGAAGGCAGAAAACAAAACGTTAAACATTGTGATTTCAACTACAGCCATAGCTTAACTGGGTTCTATGCCGATTTGCGCTACCCAGATCAACCCCGCTGACGGGTGATTGCTGTGGCAAAAAGATCGATAGAAATAGCTGAGAGACGTGCGAAACAAAGGACCCGCATGGTGTGGTGGTGAACGCGTTACTCCCCGGAAAGGATAATAGCGCGTTCGTTCCCCACCATAGACACCTGCGGTCCAGAGTTTTGCAAATATCTCAGCAACGTTGTGGTTGTATTTCGCTTAATAACCTGCCATGAAAATTATAGAAGGCAGAAAACAAAACGTTAAACATTGTGATTTCAACTACAGCCATAGCTTAACTGGGTTCTATGCCGATTTGCGCTACCCAGATCAACCCCGCTGACGGGTGATTGCTGTGGCAAAAAGATCGATAGAAATAGCTGAGAGACGTGCGAAACAAAGGACCCGCATGGTGTGGTGGTGAACGCGTTACTCCCCGGAAAGGATAATAGCGCGTTCGTTCCCCACCATAGACACCTGCGGTCCAGAGTTTTGCAAATATCTCAGCAACGTTTTGTTAATACATTTTTTAATGTACACGTTGACACAATAATCTCTTAAGTCATATCTTTCGAGAACACTGTTAACACATTCGTCGATAGATTGGGATCGCATGCATTGACAGCAATGCGTGTTCTTCCTGCCGTTCATTTGGCCACAGAGTCCTTTTCTTTTTTTGCGCTTCTTCGCGTTCAACAAAAAGCGTGTCGAACACATGTTTTGACAGCTGTGATCCTTGAAAATCTGTTCTGCTCACTTAGCAATTTACAAAAAACACTTTTAAAATAGGAGTGTTTCCGTTGAAGGACAAAGTTACCAGGTAACCTGATCTACCACTGAGACATTCCTGTACGTTCCTATCAGTGTGCTTTCAAATAGTGGTGCATCTCCGAGAACGTTATAGGCGCTTCACGGGAAGCGGTAGCGCAGTGGCTAGTGATGCTGTCGATCAGGAAGCCGAGGCCCCAGTTCAACGATTTGTTGCAGTCCACGTGAGAACACCTTAGCTCTCTTATTTCGATGATTGCAGGTAGAATTGATCATCATTCTACGACATTCATTAGGAAGACGAGATCCTCAAGCAGCAGCAGAAATAACACGCGATATGTTCGAAGATTATTGTGGACCACGAATGCGAAGGAAACGAATCGAGTGCAAGAATTGCTGAGATCTGCACAGTAAAAGTGACGACGGGTCGTATAAAAAGGGAATAAGATATATGCACATATTTATATAAAAATGCTGGATACAGATGTAAAAACAACTTCCATAGACTGGCAACATCGTGGCATACTGCAGACGAAACTTCTTTCACCAAGTGAGAGAGTTAGATTGCTCCAAAAACATTGAGTGATACATTTAAGAATATAGGAGATAGGTATACTACAGAAAAATAAAAGTATGAATGAATTCAGAAAGTGCAGGAACCGAATCGTAAAGTGGAAAGTGCAAGAATAGTTGGCACAGGAAAGGGGGTTGGGAATTCATCGTATGCTTGTGCATCGAATACAATGCAAGCAGGTCCTACAAACAAGCGTAGTTGTGAAACCGTGGAATGTGTTGAAATCCTGCTTACTGTTCTTTTTAGGCACGTGGGATTTCAACTTAGCTTGACTTGACTTGACTTCAATGACACTTCGTCGATGACCCACATCGGATGCGTATTCCTCTGGATCAACACTTATTCCTTTGGATCATGAGGATGAGGTATTCATCGGAGATCAGGGCTACGTAGCCCATTTTACTTTCTCGCTTGAGCTCTTGCTGTTGATGTTCTAGCGCTACGGAGGATACTTAGTTGAGGTTTACATAGGGTATTGTGCCACGTCCATTTTTGTACTTAAAGATTTGCTAGCTGAAAGGGATGCGCCCAAAACCGAGTGCCAAACTTTGGCGTTGCCTATTCATGAGGCCTGGATATGACTGACAGTGCTCTTTACTTTTCTTTATTATTTAGCCATATGATCTTCCCAACGGTTTACCATCTCATCGTGGCGGGGTGTACCTTGGTGTTGCGCTGCCATGTACAGCGTGGAATTCATACCCTGGCAGGGTCGCCCAAGCTGAGAAGGAGTCCGGCGTTTACACCGGGAAGCCAGCTAAGCGTAAACCAATAACGGGATCCACCACCGTCCTGGTATCAAACTAGTCGCATGGTGTGAATCCCCCTTGGTTCATAATGGCGGCGACTGCCTGTGGTGGTGACGACCTGGGGCATATTTTGGCCTGGCTGACCTCAGGACCCCAGGAACCACAATGGTTTAGCTAGCAAGACTCTGAAAAAATGGTGATTATGCTGGTTCCCGCACAACCAGTGAGGCCCCTCCAAGCATCCAAGTAAGTAATTTTATAAATTTGAAGTCATAAAAATGTTACTATTCTATAAATTCCAACATGTAGCCGTTGTCTCATACTTGATTATGTGAAAACAGTCACATGTGAATACCTTCTTGGATTGTTAAGCTAACAGGACGTTGATGAATATGCTTATTGAGCTAACGTTTCGAAGTCTTGGTCTTCCTCAGAGCCGATGGTCCCTGTCGATGGGGCAGAGTCGTTCGTACCAACGATGTTGTGCCTTCGTCGTCGCACCGAGTCGGATCATCTTCAATGGAGACGCATCACATCGAGGGTACAAACGACTATGGACCATCGATTCGGATCATCGGCTATGAAGAAGACGAAGATATCGAAACGTTAGCCGAATAAACATCTTCATCAACCTCGCGTTAGCTTAACAATCCGGGAAGGTATTGGTTATTACCACCAAGCTTAAATGAGGGTCGGTTTGAAGGATCACATTTCAGTTCATTTCACAATAGCAATTTTGTTGAAGGAATTCGGAATGGACCGTCTATTATTTTAATGGAGTGTCAACTTAAAACATAACTAGAACTTCTGGAAATTTCCCAAGTGTTCTTAATATCCTCAGGTTAAATTCGAGGACGTACAAGTTTGTGTCATTTTACTGCCATTGTTCCCTTTACCATTGTTATTTCTACTATTCCTCCCAACGGTTTACCGGCTCATCGTGGCTGGTAGGTGTTCCTGTATGTTGGGCTGCGATGTACTGCGGGATGGTTCATCACCCCGATTGGGACCCCTGTGCTGAGAAGGAGTCCAACGTGTTTTGCATGTATATATATATATATATACATATATATATATATATATATAACGCCTCCCAACGGCTTACCACTTCATCGTAGCTGGGAGGTATTCTTGGGTGTCGGGCTGCGATGTACAGCGAGGAATTCATCTCCTGACAGTGCGTCCCAGGCTGAGAATGAGTTCGGCGTTTTCATCAGGAAGAGCAGCTAAAGGTAAACTAGTGCCATAGTCTGTCACCGTCCTGTTATCAAGCTGGTCGTATAGTGGCAAATCTCCCTCTGATTCACAGGGGCCGCGCTGTCTCTGGTGGTGACGACCTGAGGCAGACTTTTGCGAGGCTGCCATCGGGACTCCAAAGAACCACAATGGCTAAGACAGCAAATCTCCGGAGAGTGGAAATTAAGCTGGGGCTCGCACAACCACTGATGACAGACCATCCACTCATTCAAGTATGCTAGTTATAGAGGAACATTTCGCTGTAATATTTTTTAAATGACGTAAACTTGCGTATTCTTTAAATTGCGACTTTCTTTAATCTGAAGTTGTAGTACCACATTCGAAGTCCCTGCTTGATATTATTGGTGTTCTTTTTTCTCTTCTGTTTATTCATTCTATTCCACTAGAACGTTCTTTACATATGTATTGGTGGACAAGCTTGTGTTTTTTGATGTACACGTCACCTTTTCGTTCATATTTTCCTGGAACGGAGCCTGTTTTCGTTTTGGTATGGTAATATCTTTAATCGTTGGTAAGTAATACTTTTACAGTCTCGGGATAATGTCGTCACGACGGCGTGTTCAGAAGATCAGCTATTCCGAAGGTAAGATTGGCTCTAATATTAGCCTTTATCCGTATTTTTTTCCACTCTTGCAATGAAAGAAAAGCTTTAAACTCTTTTACTACCGCCTATGTTTTCCTGGTGACACTTACGTCTTAAGAGCTGGATGATCATGACGACTACTATGGGCAGTCATACGAGGAAGATGTTGCAGTATCTCCGAGTGTTAGTGAGTACATTTTACTTTAAGCAATCCAGTTTTTTCCACTTGATATCAACGGCCCTCATGTTTTACCCAATTCCCACGTTTTCATAGTTGTTCTTCATTCTTTAGTTTTGGGCAGGACAGTATGGTGATGCAAAATCCTGTGTGAAATATCTATTTGTTTGAAGAAACTCTCATGCAGCTGTTAGAAAGGTTGTGTTCTAGTGCCAGCCTTCCCTTTAAAACTAAATGGCTGGCTAACGTAATGACTACCCTCTTTGGGAGCTTACTATGTCGTCTACATGAATAAAAAATGCACCAGCTGCCGTTTCAACTTATTTTTGTACTTTTCTGTTAGCTGAGCTTTTATTCTGTTCAGCGGGCTACATGTATCAACGACAGCAGACGACTCCTAACAGTTTCTTGTTTGATTCGAAATTAAGTGAAGTCACTCCTGAAGGGCAAAGTGGCATTGGAACTTCCCGTAGCGGTGAATATGAAGACGGTCAAATGTTTGACATGGATGCCGTTGAAAGTGAGTCCATCTTTACGAGGTCAATCGTCTAAGGTGCTATATCCTCTGCATGTTGAGGCTAACTCGTGATTTACAAAGGTAATGTATAATGACAGTGATCTTTATATTTGTAGACTTTCTTCTATCATAATGGTATTTGTGGTTGAGTCCTTGCTAATAACATTCAGTTGTTGAATAAATGATAGTTTTATACATTTGCTACGCAACTGATTTACTAAGGAGAAAACGATGTATCAGAACAGCCTACGATGCCCTCAACATCGGTCGCTTCAACGGTTTTCGATCTGGGTTCTTCTACGGGGCGTAGTTTCGATGAGCGTGGACGTTCTTCACAGTTAGTTGTAGAGAAGTCTGTTCCCGAGGAGGTCAAAGGTGGAAAGGTACTTGAAAGATTTTGTGTCATTGATTGAAACTGTGCTATAATTGGTAGAAAGCTTTGTTCTGTTGGTTTGCATTGATTTATATTAATACATGGATTAATTCGTACGTTTCTTCAAATGTTCAAATTATGAACTTTAGTTCTAAGTTTTTAGCCCGTGATCCCGAATATCGCAAATCTACGTGTCTCGACACCGAGCCGCAGTGACGTAAAAGAGCCGGCGAAGTCTACACTTGGTCTGGATTCCGCACTTGCAAGTTTACCAGCTAATTCGAGTAGTCATAGGCGAGTATATCCCTATTATGGACTCTCACTCACTCACTCTTCCTCTGTGTCTTTCTGTCGAGCACGCACACTAACAAACGTTTTTAGCAACTTATTTCTTCTTTGTTGGTTTATTTCAGGCTCAGTCAACTGGCTTCAATCGCTTCCACGCCAGTGACACCAAAGAAAACACGGTATCGTGAAGAGACTAAGCAGCTTATTAATCTAGTAGTAGTTGGACATGTTGACGCCGGGAAAAGTACGCTTATGGGTCACCTTTTATATCAGGTTTGTCCTAATCGTAGTTACAAAATTCGCGTGCTAGAACAGCGTTGTGGACTGCGTTCGCTCTATTCACATCAGGATGAACGCACTATTCATGCATCATTCTTTTTTGTTGTTGTTCCAAATAACAGAACAGTTACCAGGATCGACTTTCTGGTAATCTCGGCATTGGATTATAAATTCGTCGTTTTCTTTCTCAGCAATCGCGACGTTGTTAAACAGCATACGTTTATTTCCATACAATAACACACATACAACACAACTGTAGCTGACGTTTCGGCAGAATCGCCTTCTTCAGAGTCTGGAAGGGCATACTGATGTACGATTTACTAGGTCAAACGCTTCAACAGCGCAAACAGAAAGATGAAAATCTGAACGATAATTTCCCGATCAACGGTTTCGCGAAAAACCCACAGGTTTTTTCGCCTGTATTCCACCGAAGAAGAACAGCCGCTCAGAGTCGCATATGGTTGACCACTGCACTTCTCCATATCAACGATCGATGCGAAGGTACGGGGCGAGATCACGTGTGACCTCGGAGCATTCCTGTCTGCTATTCATTGTAGGATTTTTGGCGTTTATCCAGAAAGCCTCGAGGAGTTTGCGCGTTGATGTTTTAGGATCCCGTGCGGGGATAGCTACTTTTATGTCAAAATCGTCTCTGCTATGCCTCTATATCCTATGCGTCCCTAGTGGCATACCTTGTCTTGCTTTTCGTTTGCTATCTAGGTGTTCTTTTACACGGATACACAAAGGTCTGCCCATTTCGCCAATATATTCGTCTACGCAAGTACTGCAAAAGATCAGGTATATCATAACTGAACTCATGTAGTCACCGTCCCTGCTATAAGGACAAATTATGCAATTTAGTATTCCACATAGACGGTCGTATAGGCGGTTACGAACTAACGACGAAGAGTATTGGTGGTATTTCAATTATCGCTACTGAATCCTCTAGATCTGCCCTTCTTAAGCATCGCTAATAAAGGGTAAGATAAACGGGATTTTGTTTCGGCCAAACCGTTCGTTTTCGGGCATCGCTCTCCTTCTTAACTTATCGTGGGGTTACTATTTCATAAACATTAGAGATAGCTATATGCCGAGCCAAGTCACGCGATTCTTCCTTTAGGTCCTTACTTGTGCACACAGAGGTGGTTGTTCGAAACATGCTTCTCACAAGCGCCCTCTTTGTATGTGAAGGGTTGGTAGAAAGGAAATGAACCAGCATGTTTTTGTTACTTGGTTTTCGGTACCACTATCTTATGTAACCTCTACTTGATAGGTTTATTTGAACGTTTAAAAACGGCAGCTAGTTTTTTCTCGGTTTTTCCTGGGTGGACTTTATGTACTCAGACTGCTCGCTCAATAATTCAAAGCATTTGTTCATCTCCTGCTTCGTAGAGGAGACGACAAAACAATCATCTACATATCTGCAGTAGAATAGTGGCAAGAGATCGAGAACAGGGGCTTCTATCTTTGACATAAGCACAATGGCAAGGTTTGGTGCCAGTCGCTGTCCCATTACCAGCCACCTTATTTGCTCGAAATATTTCCCAGACCATCTGAAAATCGAGCAATTTAGGCACTCCTTTAAGAGAGCCATTAGCTGCTGGATGGACAAGCCATGCATATTTATTCTTCCTTCACGTTCAACAAGAAGTTCGAAGATGGCTTGCATTGCGGAGTCATTCGTTACGTTGGTGTACAGCGCGGTAACATCGAAGAACTACAGCACGTACGCGTTATTAGGAGACGCGTTACATAGACATTCTAAGAACATTTGGGTGTTCATGAGGTAAATTGGAATGTGGTTAAGCAACTGTGTAAGTATTAGGCTTAAAAACCAGGTTATTCTATCCGTTGGCCGTCTACGCAACTAATAGGACACTGACGGTTTTGCTGTGGCTTGTGCTTCCACTCCGTTGGGTTTCTTGCTTAAAATTTCGAATCCCTTCTCAAGTTGAGGAGTCCTGTTAGGGAAGGAGAATTCTTATACAATATCTTGCTGTTCCACACCCTGAATCACCCCTCGCATCGTAGAGGCGGAAAATAATGGTTTGAGATGAGGTATGTTACATAGATGCACCAGTCTAAACGAGCTTCAGTATATGCCACCATGTTAGGTTTGATTTTTAAAACATCTTTTGAGACGAATACGGATTTGGTTGGATGTTCACAGAACCTCAGTTGTTGTCAGAGGAATATATTGCAACTGAGCAACCCTACAGGAATTAGAGTGATGTCAACGCAATGTGTAGACCACATCTAGAAACTTTTACTTGCTAATAGCGTTGCATTCAATCTTGCTGCACGTGCCAGCCAAAGTTTTTTTAAGCTAGTTTTGACAATTACTCATCCTTAGCATCTTTTAGGGAGATGTTGAATATTCTAGCTGAATAAACTATTGAATAATGTTTCAGTTGGGATACGTGGATCAACGTACAATTCATAAGTACAGACAGGAGTCAGCTAGATCTGGGAAGGGTTCGTTCGCGTTCGCATGGGTACTAGATGAAACTGAAGAGGAACGGTAGGGCTTGTCTTGTTTCTTATATACGTGATATTTTACCACGCTTATTCAAAACATTGGCGTACGATACATACTTCTTAGGTTTCGACTCAAGATTTGTTAAAAAATACTTTTCATAGTGTAGTTCAATTATACAGAGGGAAAGTGCCTCAAATGAGCTTTGTGTTGATATATAATAGCAACAAAATTATTGTTGAAACATACACACTAAAGGTACATATTAAAAATCCTGTGTTAATTTCCGAACCTGTTATTTGAAATAAAACTATTACGATGTGCATCTCTTTGCAAATGACGGATAACTCTTTCTGTTCTACAGCGATAAAACTCTGGTTTATTTTAGACTTAAAATACGTTTGTTTTGATTTCCTTTACAAAGTTCATATCTCGTACAGGGAAGTTAGATATCTGGTTTAGCAAGTGAGATTTCGTACTGCAAGCCGTAATAGTGTCACACAGTGTGTTTCTGATAATTTTAGCTACTGGGCTTGCATTAAAATTCTTGCAATTTAATTTCGCTTTTCATTTTTTTGACACTTTAGTTTTAAACGGATATGAAGATAAACTACAACGCTTACGGCAGTGATCCGAGTTCTGCTCATATCTCAGCATCCTTGTACCCTGCATTACATACTACCATGCAGTAAAAAAAAGAAATAGGCAGTAAATAAAAGCCAGGACATAAGAAGCAGTTCGGGAAAATTGTTCTTGCTACTGCATTAATGGAGCAAAGTCTCTTCTATAAGCATATCAAGTTCTGAACAACGTTAATTACATTATTTTACTTTTTTATTTACTGCCTACTACAATTTTCACGGCAGGGTGTTAAGCGAAATCACTCACAACGATGCTGATATATTCGCTATACTGGGATCCCAGGTCGAATCGAACCACGATTTCCCTTTCCGGGGGTTCGCGCCTTAGACACTGCCGCGGAGACCCTCGCTCTACGTTTCTACCAGTGCCATCAGCAGTTAACCGTTAACGGGATTGATCTGGGAAGCCCACATCGGCCTTGAATCCGGTAAAACATTGTGATTTCGATTGCAGCCTCAGCTTAACTCCCGTTGACGGGCGACCGCTGATGGTACTGTTAGGTAGAAAAATAGTTGAGAGAAACGTAGAGCGAGGGTCTTCGTGGCGCAAGCCCTCAGAAGGGGAAATCGTGGTTCGATTTGGCCCGATGTCCAAGTTCTACGAATATCTCTGCATCATTGTGGTTGATTAGTTATATTATTGCTGCATTACATTAGTTATTCAAAAATACATTGTAGTTGGCGAAAATTAAGCGTCTACGCCAATATGTTCATCGCTTGATGTTTTATTAGATAATTTCAAGCTGCTAGTTTTTTGCTTAAACCGCAGCATTTATTAATGATAATGCATAGCGATGAATTCAGTTCTCGAGGTGTAACTATGGATGTTGCGAAAACGTCATTTGAAACGATTTCAAAGCGAGTCGTATTGTTGGATGCTCCGGGTCATAAAGACTTTATTCCCAATATGATCACTGGTAAGTAGCTGTAGGCTGCTGATTGTTCAGTGGCACCGACATTGTTAGATGGATCATGGTTTCGGTATTGCGTATCAGTAATGTTCCATTGGAGGGGGTAGTAGCTAAATGATTAGTGATGGAGTCAATTAGGAAGCTGTTGGTTCGACCTCCACCACGTGGGAACACCTTGGCAAGGCTATCCCCAGGAGTTCAAGGAGAATCAACTCGACCAGCATTCTACGACATTCATGAAGAACACCTCAAGCAACAGCGGAAACAATACCCGAAATGTTTGGAGGCCTTCGTGAACGATGAATGCTTGGAAAACGAATCAAATTCATGAAGTGCTGGGAACCGGATGGTTTATATGATAACGGGTTTTTTAAGGTAAATAAATAAATGAAAGTCGATAGAATATACATTCACTTCAGGCGCATCGCAAGCTGACGCTGCTATTCTTGTTATAAATTCGGCACGAGGGGAATTTGAAACCGGATTTGAAAATGGTGGTCAAACTCATGAGCATGCTATGTTATTGCGCTCACTGGGTAGGTTTTTTTGTCGTCGTAGCGTGTTTACGTTGCGAATATAATAAACTGTTCATAGGAGTCGGACAAGTGGTGGTAGCGGTGAATAAGTTGGATACAGTAGATTGGTCACAGGACCGGTTCCACGAAATCACTACCATAATGGAGTTGTTTTTAACAAAGCAAGTGCGTCAGTGTGCAATTAGTAGTGATCACCTGTACACTTTCCTACTCTTGATTTAGATTATTGTTCTCCTGTAGCTCTCTTCTACTTTTTCTATACATCCATCTGTATTTCTACGTAGTTCCTTATTTCCCCACTCTTTTTAGGCCGGATTCAGTCATGTGCGTTATGTGCCGGTTTCTGGTCTTGACGGAGACAATTTATCAGATCGTATACAAAGCAGTCATCCTCTCGCAAAGTGGTACAGCGGTCCATGTCTTTTGGAACTCATAGGTAAAACACACTTGTTTTTCGTTCTTTACCGTAGTGCCTTAAGATTTTTAGAATCTATGATTTCCATGACAAACTTGCTCATCATTTTCTCCTTTTTCTTTCCTTCGGTAGAGACTGTGAATAAGAGGAAGACGAATGGTTTTGTCTTTACTACTGTTTCTTTTTCTGTTGTTTTATGACAAAAATACTAGTAGTATTTCCAGATACGTTTTCTGCACCACCTCGTGCAAGTGAAGGACCGGTAAGAATAGTGATTAATGATGTATTTAAGGTATAGTTTGCATGTTTCCAGTGTTGTTTGAGAAAAAATTAGAGTTCACTGCAATTTAATCAATAGGGACGTGTTTTTGCTCTGTCATTTTTTCAGAGTCATTTTTAAAAAGATAGTCGAAGAGGGAAGAAAAGGGCTACTTATTCACAACTAATATTTGGATTATAAGCATTTATTCAGGTTAATTATTTTCTCGTATAGATGACGACAAATCTACTTAGTTTGAGCGGAAAAATCGAGTCCGGAGAGGTGGAAGCGGGAGACAAATTATATATAATGCCTACCGGAGATGCAGCTGTTGTTAAAGGTTTATTTTCAAACTGTTTAATCTTAATCCATCAAAGCTCACTGCATAGTAACCTGTGATTCGGCGCTCAAGAAACCTCTATTTCTTCCTAGAAGATGTGGCAGTGTACCTGAAATCAAGTGATATATTAAAATGGATAATCCTAAATTTCTGACACAAAGCTTCCAAAGAGTGGAGATTTTTATAGACCTGAATTACCCGTTTTTTATTTCTTCGTAAGCATTTACATCACAGCATGCTCAAACGACAATGGTGGTGCAGTAGATATTTGTATGGCTGGTGATCAAGTACTGCTAACGTTAAACGGGACTTTTGAAGCGGATACAATTCACACGGGGCATGTGGTAGTAAGTGGTGGACAGGTTTGCACACTAATTTACTTGGTTATTTTTTTAAAAATAAAACGGGGCAATTGATCTGAAAAACGATAACTCACAGTGTTTTAAAATTGGGACCGTATCTGCTTTCGTGGATTGTTCTTATTTTCAGGATGTATTGATGCCATGTCGTCATTTTGTTGCACGAATTGTAGTATTGGATATAGCACCGATCGTAAAGGGAACAAAGGCAGAGCTCTACTGTCATTCGTTATGCGAATCGTGTACGGTGGTGAAACTCCTTTCTTCGATTAACAAAGGAGATGGTAGTGTCATAAAAAAAAAACCCAGGTTCGTACTACGAAACATCATGCACGTGGTGGAGTTCTAAAGATTCTGAGAATTCATCCGCTGTAGACATATCTTTAGTTCGTGCTTTTGTCGCTCTAGAGCTTTAAATTATGGTCTACAAAATTTCCGCTAATGCATTCTGGACGACCTTCGTCGTGCATACTTCATAGCCCAACTTGGTCGAAAATAATTTAACTTTTAAGCTCTTAGTAAGTATATCTAACGTTGTATTGCATTTTGTTAACTCATACGCGACGACGTTCAATTTTGTGCAATTGCCACTTTGGTCTTCCCTATTGCTTCGGCTTTTATCCCTATAGTTCTGCTTTTTATATTATCTTGTTATTTTTATATTATCTTGTTGCAATTTCTATTGACAATATAACTCAGTGGGCTCGAACAAATCTCGTCGCCTACACAATAACCTTGTCGATAAAGTGGAAGTATGCTAACAACTTTTCAAACTTTTTTTTGTCATTATTCTAAATCTAATGGTATTGATGCCATAAAAGTGAATGGAACGCCAATGCAACTTTGATAATTTAACAATTCCCATAAGAAAGCAGGGATCAAACAGTTTTTCTCCCATTCACCCATATTCGGTTCCTATGATTTATCCTCTTGTCTCTATCTGTTGCTTTCTCTTACAAATATCAAGCGCAAACAATTTTGTAAAGTTCTGTTGCTCCGTACATCCAAATGCTAACAGCTGATGCACTCCAAATCTGTCCATCAGCGGGAACCGGATGCCATGAGGCACCTCGATGACTGAACATTGCACCATAATTAGACTTCTCAGACCTCGATTTAAAATGAAAAGTACATGGGTTTATTAGAGGCAAATTAATTAGAAGACAGTATTGTCTCAAGATGTGATGGATTTTCATTGTGATGTATCTTAGTTTACTTTTTTCTGTTTACTAGAGCGCCTTTTAGCCTAACTAGTTCAGATTTCTTGCAAAACAAATGAGTGGCATTGTGGAAATCCTGACTGACCGGGAAGTAGCGATTGAAGCTTACACAAAATGCAAGGCGCTTGGACGTATCACAATACGGGCTAGGGGCAAAACAATCGCGGCAGGCATTGTGGAACGTAAGCTGTCTTGAACGAACCATGTTTCCGTTCCTTTATTCTTGGTATTTTCCTCATTATTTATTAGCATGCTTGTTTGTTAGTTGTTTTTGGTCACCTTGTTGAGTTAAATGGTATAGGTATTTGCTTTTTGTTCACTTCTGTTCCTATCGTAAGAATTCTCGCAATGTCGGTGTTCCGATACTAAATAGATGGTATAAAAGAATTTGATATATATAGAACGAGAAAAGATTTCCTTTCGTGTTCGAGACCAGGGTTATACTCATATTTTACTATTAGGGTTAGACGATTAGGGCTATACTCGTATTTTACTATTCATTACTGTTATCATTTATTATCACTGATAGCGGTAGTAATAATTATCATATTTCACCATCATCATTGATATGCTTTTTTTCATTTGCTATCTTAGCACACTGGGGCGCATGTAGTGCAGTGGTTATTGGTGCCGTGCTATACACACGGGATCGATCCCTCCCGCCAGGTTCACCAAACCCTTCATCTCTCCAAGGTTGGAAAATTGGTGCCAGACTTATCTGGGAGGATAGCAGCACTGACTCGACACATCGATTGAGCACCGTGAGTCAATGCATAAGCCTGATATGCATTCAGTCGCCTCTAACAAACGATGCTCAGTAAAGTCAAATGCGTGGCGCATCCCTCAAGGATTGATCAGTGCCTAGCGCTATATCCTTTTTTATCCTATTATTTGTTTGTTACGTCATTTTAAATCCAATTGAATGGCAAAAATGGATTTTTTGAAGTGCTAAGTTTTTATGAGTAGTTATAGATGAGAAATGAAATTTCCGAAAACTGCGCCGAGTAAGCCAGTCTAAAGCTTTAGTGGTATTCGTCATTTCATAGCGAAATTTTTCGACCAGACATTACTGTCTGTACTGGCAAGTTTAATCGGAAATAGAAATCCCAGCTACTCTTCTCGGTCCTTTGTTTCTGAGATTACATGGTATTTTATATGAGGCATCATTTCAAGATTTGGTTATCGCTTAATGTCGTCATGAGCAAAGAATTCACGAATGACGTTAATTTTATCGCCTTAACATCCAAGTCACAAAAATTTTTTGACCATTGATACTTTTAACGGCATGACCTGTGTATTAATCTCAACTGGCCAGAAATATGTAACTTTTTAAAATTTAAGCACCCATATCTGACAAACTTAACTTGGCACTGTTCTTCCATCCAATGATTATTTTGTGAGGTCCTCGGCGGAAGGTACCAAAGAGGTCAAAGAAACCGAGGAACCGAGAGAGACTTAAGCACTCATATTTCAGCTGATAGTGACCTTTGTTTTTTTAAATGGAACTCTTTGTAATACGCGTCGTGATGCGAAAGGTCCTGAACGGGTATTTTATGAAGTTTAAATTGAAGAGTTTAAACAAAATACGCAGCGCTATATAACTCTTTGGGGATGTAGGGAAAAATCTTCAATATGTATGTTACTTCCCCAAGGTCTTAGGCACTCTATTAATTGAGAGTTCATCGGCAGTTATGTAAATTAGACTAAGTCCTGAAGAAGCTTGAAAGCCTGTCAATCGCATCTTGAGTTTTTAAAATTATTACTCAGATTGTTACTGGAATAAAGGCTTCAGAATCTTTAATTTAACAACATATTAGCAAAGACCGCCAGAGACGATTCATTTAGATATTCCATCGTATCCCGTTGGACGAAATACCGATTGTTCAGTGGCATTGCTGCGTGGGCCCAGCAGTATTAGTATTTCATAGTTAGCTCTCTGGACGACTTATAACTGTTTTGAGTGAAGCAGTCGTTACAACCTTTTGCATAAGTTTTATAAGTTTTTGGAAACCATCTATTGTTAAAGAACATCGGCAGTGATTCCAACGTAAGGTGCACATGTTTCATCCGAAGGACAACAATAGTCCTTAGAAAGGGTGGAACATATTCGGGATTCTGCTCCGAAATCCAAGGATCAGATCAATAACAGTTGTGTATTGGAAGCTTATCACGATTTCCTTTAAATCATCTATGAATTTGTAGCTTCAATTTATTTCTAATGGTCGTACTTTTGGAACAGCTTCTGGTTTGGATTTTTTGTCGAGGTTTTCATATCATTAGCCTCCTATGTCAATTCATGAAATCGTTGGTGTGGAATTGTGTGCAACGAGTGTTGGTGCTGTAATGTGCTGAATAGTACTTATGAAAGCCTCGCTTTGTTAGTTGCACTGCCCAGAATTGTGCGTGTAAATATTGAGATTTTTGTGGTCGTGCTAAGGCGAATGACATGTTTTCTTCCCAGTGCTCTTCTTTTTTGTTGCAATTTCCGGTTAATAAATAGTATATGATTTCGCGTAAGTTGAGGAATTATTGGTGCCAGGAGCTTATTTATTCATTATAAAGAGTATTACGTATTTCCGTATGGTAAATGGTTTTATTGAGCTTTCGAAAATTTTTACAGCTGTTTGGAAAAAGGTTTTTATTTACAGTTTTTAGTTCATGAGGCTCTTAAGCTTACACCTTTACAAATATCGGATGGGTTGAGCTTGGGAAAGAGAGCAACAAGTGAACGAACATCTGTTGCCAACAACACACGAATCGTCGGGGATGGTATCAACCATGTATTGTGAAACAACTGCTCAAATGCATCGACTCGATAGTTTTTGGACTTGATCATTGCACAGAGAAGCCTTGAGAGTTGAAGTAATCAGGATCCGCATTCTTTCATCGACGACGAACAGCTGTGACATCGACAATGGAAATGATATCAGGAGAGACTACACGCCAGTTTGCCAAAACAGTTGCGATCGTTCTTCCCATAAATTGAAGGCATTCGTACTTGTTTCACTGACGTAATGTTCGATTAATGGGACGTACACTAATCGGCAAACTCGAGGCGAGCTCCGTAGATATTTTAACATCTACCGGTCACTGCAGTTTTGAATGCGGAGCTCCGGAAGCATCTGTTCGACTGGTACGACCGCTAGAGAAACCATACGTGGTTTAAAAAGCTCGCAGGCGTTTTTGTAATGTCGCTAGGACTGGCGCAACATTTTTAGGGATTACTATCGAACAATGGGCCTTGGCGAATATCGACGAATATGATTCCAAACCACCCAAGTGTTCACCGCTTCATCGTGGCTGGGAGGTGTTCATAGGTGTCGGGTGTGATGTACACTGTAGGGATTCATCCTCCCGGCAGGATCTCCCAAGCTGAGAGGGAGTCCGGCGTTTCCATTAGGAAACACTGCTAAGAGTAAGTCAACACTAGGTTGCACCACCGCCCTGGTGTCAGACAAGTCGCGTGGTGGCAGATCTCCCTCCGATCTGCAAAGGCGGCGACTGCCTAGTGTGGTGACGACCTGGGACAGACTTCGACCTGACTGACCTGAGGACTCCATGGAACCACATTGGTTAAGTCAGCAGAAGTCCGAAAAATGGAAATTTTGCTGGGGCCCGTACAATCAGTGAGGACGGGCCATCCAATTATGTAAGTATAATCCCAAAAAATTCTCTTTGTGGCAGACACCACCTTGAGCTTAACGAGTTAAAATTGCGAAATTAGCGGTTCTATGAGAGTGGCATTCTTTGTGCCTAAAAACTGTGCTCAAATGGTTTATTAAAACAATGTTTATAATAGGAAAGAACGTAAAAATGGTGCATCAATTTTCTATTAACAGTTCAAGAAATACAAACACACCTCGTGCTAGTAAACAAAGTAGGGATAAATGCGTAGATTCAAAGGTTGTGAGGTAATAAATAACAATAATATATATTGTATAAAAGTATGCTTGCATCATTGAGTATGTTTCTGCTATATGTCATCATGTCATCAATAAGTCTAGTCATTTCCTATTAAAACATCAAGAAATGCAAACAAACTTCTTGTTATTAAACAGATTACGAATAGACGTGTTAATTGAAAGGCTATGAAGTAGTAAATAACACAGTCAAATATATTGTATAAAGTATGCTTGTATTATTAAATATGCTTGAACTAGATATATTTCATCGAGAAAACTTCTTAATACGTCGCCATGATATAACGCAACGCTTAATTTAGCGACCTTACCAGTTAGCTGTCACGATCACGAGGTCAGCAATCATCGCATTCTGTTAACAGACAATAAAAAAGGTGCAGATTTTAAAGTGTCTCATCTCTCACAGTTAGCGGCATGATTTCATCGCGTATGGCACGTCGAAGTTGATCTATCGGAAGTAGAAGAAGACGTGAGAGACGCTGTCGAGCAGTTGCTGTACCGACGCTCGTAATCAGAATCACATCGTTACGACGATTCTGATACATGTTGCGTGTGAGAATTTGTGACACACCTGTCCATTCCTGAAAATCCGTCCATCTGCCTAAACAATATTTCTGTTCTATCTTCTCTGCACAGTATATGTGATAAGCAACCGTAATGAAGATAGGCCACTATGCACCTTAGAGTTCATTTTATTGAGGGTCTTCAAGGCAGTTTTTAGTTACTGGATACGAATAATTTATTAAAAAAAGAAATGTTTGCATAATATAAATGGCTCACCCGAAGCAAATCAAGAATTCTGTGTGCTGATAGTGGACTTTCACCATAGCTCTGTCGGAACAGGCTGCTCGATACAATAATAGGATCCCTGGAATGGATGGAATGGAAATAAGGGTATGTGAGCCATAAAAAGAAGAAGAAGTACCACTAACGCTACCTTGATTCGCTCTCGCTCCAATCTTGAATAACTTCTCCGACATACATAGAGTCGAAGCGACCTGACACTGCGATATGATGGTAGGTTCGGAACGCTAACTAAATACTGTCGTGAGAAATTACAGTAGACAGTAGAGAAAATGTTAATATTGGGAAAAGATATTTAAAGAATTGACTCGAAACAGTGAGGACCTTGGCAGACCTCTGGAGAATGGTATCAAAACAGCATTTCAAAATGTAGTAAAGTTAGGCTCGTTGGAACATACTTGATGTAACGGCTCCCAGAGAGGCTGACGCATTAGAAGCGGATACGGCTTCGGACGCCCATCATCGAGACTCAAGTTTAGCGAAGAAGATGTGGAAAATTGCTGACTTCCGAGAAATTGAACAAAGTATATCAGCGCCAACCCAATTTCAGTAGTGTTATGGTCAACCATGTATATCTTTTCATTCCACATAAGCTGGAATTTCCTGTGTTCGGAATTGAACATCTTTGCATTTCAGAGACAACCGTTGAGATGAGTTTACGAGTCCCTAGCTGTCTCATGCGCATGTGGCACAGTGGTCGAAGACGCCCTGCAAACACACGTGGAATTGATCACCGCGCCCACGGTACACCAAGCCTTCCACCCCCCCGCGGTCGGCAAATTGGTACCAGACTTGTTTAGGAGGATACCGGCTCTGGCTCGATACATCGGTAAGCCACCCCGAGTCATTGTAAAGACCAGATATGCATTCAGTCACCTCTAACGTTGCTTATTGAAGTCAAATGCATGGTGCATTCCTCAGGGACTGATCAACGCCGAGAGCTCTATCCTTTTATCCTTTTAATCAAATCCGAATTTTTCAATTAGAATCAAGAACACAGTTCTGAAATAAAAGATGCGTCTAAATCATCCTTCTTGTGATCAACATGCGTACAAGTGGAACATCAGACCTAATAATCCATTCCTAAAGCCAAAAATCAGCATGGTGGATAAAATAATGACATACAGATAGGCGATTAGGGTATGGGAACGAAATACCGTCGCGAAGAGCCTTTTAGAACGTTTTAGAAGGTATTTTTTTATAGTTTTTTTTTAAAGTAAAAATCTCGTTCACATCATTTTCACATCACCCGTCATCACGCCTTTCGTCTTCGTAATGAACGTGTGGAATGATGGTCGAGTCGATTCTCCTCGCAATGTTGGAGATAGACGCGCTTGTATTCCCTACATATATTCCTATATATATAATATTTTAGATATTTCTACGTATATTGGAAGAAAACGTCGGGGGAGGGAGAGGGGGTTCTCGAACTACTATCTTTGCTTCCTGATCGACAGTCTCACTAACCACTGCGCCACCGCCTCCAACTTTCGAAAATATTTCCCTAAAAAAATCCTGAAATCAAACTAATGGAAATCTCTGGGAATAGAAGAGAGATCGCGTTTTATGCATTACTCAGACCACCTAATCAATGTCTGTCGAGTCAAACTACCAGCCTTAAGTTTACCGCTTTCTTGCAGGAGGAATTTAAAAGTGGCTTAACCCCACCGTTGTGTGTATATTTGGCTCATCCTAATGCTTTTTTTTGTTCTTTGAAATTTTCATTTTTAACTATTAATTAATAAACTCATCAATCAGTTCATATGGTGCTCGTTTCATTCTCTGACTTAATCTTTAGTTAAAAACTCACCTTCTGTGGAAATAGTCGAATTTTATTAGTGTTCGACGTACTTGAAGGATTTTTCAACACTCCCAAGCCAAACTGAATGAAAAGCAAAGCAATATGTTCCATAGTCAAGCGACAAAACCGAAAAAGCTCCTGAAAGCACATGTTTATTGTGGAAAGATGACCAAAAGGAAACGAAGTGTGGTGCAACTCACTGCTGTAAGCCACTTTTTTAGAACAAAAAGGCCGTACATGAGCCGTGGACCATAAGCGATGCTGTACCTACGAAAAACAGCAAAGAAGAAGTTATACCGCGTCCATTTGCAACATGTTCTATTTCTTTCAAAATAAGCGAGGTGCAATGAGGCCAAGATGAGGGGTGGCGTTTTTAGGCGAAGTTAAAGCTCACCGCTGCACGAATTCGTACTTTTGACAAATTTCCGCGCAGAAGGCTTCGTAGTCATCAATATGATTCTGTACGTCCTTTTTAATTTCCACGGAGAAACGCTCAGCCAGTGGGTGGGTAGACGGTGTCATTGTTCCGTCGCTGAGCAACTGTAAACAACGATAAGCTGAAGAGTATATGTTAGCCGTATAAAGCAACAAAAGAACACCTTATTTCTTTTGTAAAAACACAGCACGTCCCACACTACCCATGGAAAGCTCATACATGGAGAAGAAGGGCGGTAACGAGGCTCTTCCGCGTAGCACACCTTATACCTAAAAGGACGTAAAATATTAATCTAGAATGAGCATGACATGTTTAACACACTTTGAAACGGAACCTAAACACAGTAAAACAAAGACGATTCTACGACTGACTGCATCTGATCTGCCCAAAATTAGAGGAAATGTACAGTAGGAATTTTCGCCTAGTTCAATATTTAGCAACGGTTACCACGGTTACTTTTTCTACACTCCCTAAAGTTTTCTGACTTAATCATTGTCGTAGTAGGCCTCAGTATGTTTCAGAATTCTACAGCTCCTTAATTAACTGAAACAGTTGATAGAACGGTGAGTGTACATGGACCACCGCTGGCAATAGGGTCAGGTCCAAAGGTTATTCGCAGTGTTCCCATGGGAATTGATAATTACACTCAAGGAATGAAATGAACACCATCAGGGTGTTAGAGCTATTGTCGACATTTTTATTACTGCTCAAAATATAAAACAGAATCAAAGTTTGTACCACTTTTTCTTCAAAATGAACAAACCACTGTAGTGCCTTCATTTCCATATTTTTATCACAACGTAGACTATATTTACCGGACGGATCACGCTGATAAACTGCCGATTCTCCTCCAAATTCCTCAAATTAATATCTCATAACCACAGAAGGAAGAATACGTTCCAGTTGCGAATGCATTTGGTAAAGCAACAAGGACGAAAACCGAACAACTGTAGCTGAACAAACCTCAAAAAAATATGCACGATACTGATGATATATTTTGGTGTAGCGAAGTTCAACAATCTTATCCGTATGGTAAAATGAGTAGTCATCCTTCTCCATGGTCGCTAGCCTTTTTAAGCTCACAATATGACCAGAGACAATTGATGCCTCGTCGCACACGCCATATTCATCAAGCAATTGCTAAATTCAGTACTATGAAATCCTAACCACTTTGTTGCCTCATGCATTTCTTCTATGGGAGCGTGTGGCGCAGTAGTCGGAGGCGCTTTACAATAACATGGAATCGATTGCCGAGCCTATGGCCCACCAAGTCTTCCGTCCCTCTGGGGTCGGCAAATTGGTACCACACTTGTCCGGGAGGATAGCAGCACCGGCTCGATACATTGGTAGGCAACCGCGAGTAATTGTAGAGGCCATATATGCATTCAATCACTTCCAAACGATGCTCAATGAAGGCCAATGCATGGCGCATCCCTAAAGGATTGATCAACGCCGAGTGCTTTATCATTTTTATCCATGTTGTTGTTTTTCATCTATAATTGTTTACGCAGCAAACAAATAAAATAGTTTCACTCTTAGAAGCTAAACCAGTGCAGTTTGTTTATTCAAGAGACCACATATTAAATACAAAAAACTTTAACATATGCCACTGTGCAGGTTGCTAAAATGTGATATAAAACTGATGCAGTCGTCGTTGATAAACACTTGAGTAATGTGCTACACATCGCTAGACGTCACTGTATGCATGTTTGGTCTACATAATGACGTGTGGAGGCCCACCGGTGTGTTATGTCAGTGCTGCTAATGGGAATTTTGCAAAGGTTTTTTGGCCTTTCTAAAAGTTTCCTAAATTTCCGATTTCTTAAGCCTCTTGGTTACCGAGGAATTATCGGGAGTTACTAAAAAATCGGCATCATGCACTATTTAGGCCATATAAAGTCTAGTCTTTGACCATCACTGACTGTTATTTCATTACTAATTGCCATGATGAATCATAGGTATCGTATCGAATGGGTTACGTAGAAACGTTGAAACAGATTCAACACAGATTGCAAAGTGAACTTCCAAATGCTGACAGCGAAATAGTGGACTATCTCTCTAGATCGATAAAGTAAATGCTCTCCCATAATTCTGCAAAGCTCTGAAATCTTCATTTACTTCAGTTATGCAAAAACCAGTAATTTTTCATTGTAATCAGAATGACCTTCCCAACGGTTTGCCGCCTCATTGTGGCTGGGAGGTGTTCTAGATGTCGGGCTGTGATGTACAGCAGAGGATACATTTCCTTGGCAGGGTCTCCCAAGCCGAGAAAGAGTCCGTCGTTTCCATCAGGAAGCCTAGCTAGAGGTAGACCAATACCAGAATCCACCACCGCCTCGGTATCAAACTATTTGCATAGTGGGAAATCTCCCTCTGATCCATAAGGGCGGTCATTGGGACTCCGGGGAACTACGACAACTAAACCAGCAAATCTCCGCAGAATGGAACTTTTGCTGAGGCCTGCACAACCAGTGAAAACGGGCCATTCAAGTATCTAAGTAAGTATAGAAAGACCAGTATTGTTCACTGTAATCACAATGACACGTTCAAATGCTGGACAAGTTGTCCAATTATCTAACCAGTGAAAATTAAGTGCCATCTTAAGTGGGCAATATGGATTAATGCATGGTTTCAACTACATAAAATCACCTGGATTCTAGCAGCATACTCGTTTCGTATGCGACGTACGTTTGCACGTTCCGAGTCGTTACCTCCGAATGGATCAAAACCAGATGGGCATAATACCTGCATATGTCCAGTCAATAATTCTACTGACGGCTTAAAACAAAAATGGCCACCTCATCAACATCATGCTCAAAAACACTCGTCGAGAGCTCACATACATCCAGAACTTCTTCCACTTTCTTCGCCTTTCTAGAGTGATATGGATACTATTGGAATTTTTTAAAAAAACTGGGAAACACCCATGTCCTCACCTGTACAACTGTCCATTAAGTCGGCGACTTCGATACATTGGTTTGACAACAGAAAACATGTAATCTGGCACGACATCGCTTTGTTCATGGACAGTCAGAGGTTCAGCTGGTTCACCACTTTTCGGGAAATCCACCGCAATGGCGCATTTACGAGCAATTTCATTACAGACCTCGCTTAAATTCCTTTACTGAGAAGATGCTTAAACGAGCTGTTTATTGAAGAAAACCTTGGAACAACAAGAAAACCTTTTCGTAACAAAAAAGGTCAATTCCTTAAGTCAGTTGTTTATAAACAGAATCAAAAGCCTTCCTCCCATCGATAAAAATGGTGCACAGCGGCTTTCACATTTCCTTAATACTTTGTTTAGTTTCCTCATTGTGCGGATATGACCCAGAACTGTTTCGAAATGCAGTTTAGTTGCGTATGGATAATCCTGTAGGAGTTCCATTTTTCGACGATAATTCCACTATCTCATTGTTTTACGTTCGGAAACATAGCGTGTAAAGAGTGCCTTAATCATAAGAATTTATAGATTCTTCAGACACTCTGGTATGTGATACGTGTGTCAAAAAAAAAATCCAAGTTCAGAATTAGAAAGTTAAGCTATTATGTGGTTAAGCCTAATTAGGTCACTTAAAACTGGATATGGTGTTTCATTGCTGTATTCTTGAGTCACCTCACATACAATGACTGCCACATACTCATAGGTATATGTTCACCACAAATATTGTGAAGTCTTACTTCAACATTTAGGAAATACGTTACCTATCTCTCAGAATCTTTTCCTTCCGTATCCGTTCATGTTTACTGTACGGAGTAACAGATGTGGAAAAATATGACAAAACTTGTGCTTGTTGGGAATGTTTTGAATCTTTCAACGTGAAGTAAATAAATATTCAAGCACACAAAGTAGTTGGCTTTCTTGGATGCTCATAACTCAGTTTTTTAAAGAAATAAGGATTTTTTATTTTAATGATCAAACATTCGATGCAGAAGAAAAGTGACATTGACTGCGACCAATAGTTCCGACTTGAGCGTCGGACTCTTCCGAATTCTTGAATGGACTTTTTCAGATAATTCATCAAGATTTTAAAATATAGTTGTCAGAACACAAGATTTTTATATAAGCCATATGTTAGCCAAAGTTACTCCATGATGGAGAGAGTTCCGCACAAGAAAGCACTTGACCAATAATATTGTCCGTAGAACAAACCGGGACGACGAAACCTTTCTAACAAGTTATACGGGAAAAAAATGGAGAGTAGGGACAGTCTGAAAGCTGACGGACAGCGCTTTAAAGTATAGTTGTTAGAGCATAAGTCCTAGATAAACTCGGCAGTCCTTTCAATACAATGACTATTCTATCTGAACGTCAGGGAACAGTCCACCCCGCACTTACAATTGGTGAACTATCGCAAGTATATTTATTTATATGATCTTATAAACTGATCTTCTCAAGCTGACGTGAGGTTGGTACAAACCTTCGTTGTCGTTGACGTTGTTTTTGACGTTGTTGGTCGATGGCCGACGTTTCGGCGATTTCGCCTTCCTCAGAGCCTGGACGTATTTTATATTAGAATATTTTTATTATTCGGTGGAAAAAAACAGAGCAACTTGTGTGGAACAGACGATGAAGCAGTCGTCTATGTATCGGCAGTAGAGTAAGAGTCGGTGATCGAGAACTAGAGCTTCCACCTTAGACATGAAAGCGATGGCAAGGCTTGGTGCTAACCGCTGCCCCATCGCCAACCCTCTAATTTGTGCAAAATATTTTCCAGACCACGTAAAGACTGAACAACTAAGACACTGTTTTAAGACAGTCATTAGTTGCACAATCGACAAGCCGTACATTTTTATTTTCTTTTCGTGCTCTACGAACAACTCGAGAATGGCTTGCATTGCGGAGTCATTCGACACGTTGGTATAAAGTGAACTAACATCGAATGACTCCATTACATGCGCGCTGTTTGGTTGCGAACGCCGTAGGTGGTCTAGAAATGTTTTGGTGTTAGGCAGATGGGTTGGAATAAATTTTAGCAGCTACCTCTCCTCTCATCCTTTACATATGAAAAAAGCACTTATTTAAAACATGTACCGTACGGTTAACAACGTGTGTACAGGAGAAGAGGAAAGGAAGGAATCGCAAAACCTGGCACGAAAAATAGGCATTTCCAATGGCTACAAAGTAGAAGCCACTCGGGTTACCCTTCATATCAAATGAAGTAAGTCACGCCATTAAGACGCGCTTATGAAAAAGTGGTCTTGAAAATTATGTAACGATTACTGACATCCCACCCAACACTCTACGCCGCCAGTTAGTTCGAAACCGTCTCTATGATCGTTTGTGCAGCTCAGAAAACTGTCTTATCTGTCCTAACGGGAAAGACGGGGACTGCTTTCAGAAATAAAATACTTGATCTCATGTAATGCATGCGGTGAGGAATATATTGGGGAAACGCGCAGACCGTTTTGTGCATAAAAGAACATCTAGATGGAAAAGTTAAAATTCGTCAAAACACTACTCTAGGTACGCATAGGGCACAAAAACGCAATGGCGTTGATTTTGAAGTGAATGTGCGGATCCTAGCGCGGGAATCAGAAGCATCAACGCGCAAAACTCTTGAGGCATTTTGGATAAATTTCAAAAATAGAAAGTTGAACCGGAAGACGAATGCCTCACTATAACGCGTGACCTAGCGTCATATTTCAAAGTGATATTTTGACTCCGGCGTGTGTCTTGCTCGTGACACCACGTGAACTACGTGTGGGCCAGTCCCACACTTAACATTACGGTGAGTGGCCTTTCTGTTCAATATGGTGTCCATTTGAAAGCTTGATCTTCATTAATACTTTAACTTTTTTTCACCGAATAATAAAAACATTCTAATATAAAATACTTCCAGGCTCTGAGGAAGGAGAAGTCGCCGAAGCGTCAGCCATCGACCAACAACATCAAAAACAACGACAACGAAGGCCTGTACCAAACTCGCGTCACCTTAAGAAGATTAGCTTATAAGACCATATAAGTAAATATAACAGCTATCTATGCCGAGGTGTATAGAAAGTCAGTCTTTCGAGTTATCGCAAGTATTTTGGCACGTGTAGCGCAGTGCTCGGAGGCGCCCTGGAATACACATGGGATTCCAGCATCCCAAACCCTCCAAGGATTCCATCCCTCCGAGGTCGGCAAATTCGTGCCAGACTTGTCTAGGAGGGTAGCAGAACTGGCTCGATACATCGGTAAGCCACAGCGAATCATTGTAAAGACCAGATGTGCGTTCAATCATCTCCAACGATGCTTAATGAAGTCGAATGGATGGCACACCACTCAGGGATAGGTCAACGCCGAGAGCTCTATCCTTTTATCGTTTACTTTGGATACGATTCTTAGTTTTTACAGATTGAAACAGCGTTACTGCTGCTCTCCACTTAGGATCGCCTGTTGTTGGGTTTCTGCAAAGCTTTGCAAGCTAGAAGGTAAGTTTGTGGCTGTCTGCAATTGTGCGATGTGTGTGACTCGCCGCTGGGGCATCTACCTACGAGTTTGTGGAGACTGCCCCCTTTTGGAAACTTTCACTTTGAGCTTCCTTAGCACCATAGTGATGACAAGTAGTGAACCGGATCTTCCACCCATATTGTTGATAATGATGCTGTTCCAAAAGACATCGTAGTATGTAAAAAAGCAATTTCCACTGCTTTCAGAATTCTTCTTATGAAAAAATTTTTCACAGAGGCGATCGTACTATTTTGTTTAGAGTGCCAAGGAATCCGCGAATTCGCCCAAGCAAAACTTCCCGTTAAGAACGATGCGATTATATTCACCATGGTAGTCCATACTAGAAGTTCAGCGTTGCGATGAAGGACTCTTATATTTGTACGATTAGGCAGATAGTCTTGGTAGTATTATTAGATCAGGTAAGTTAAATCTCCATCACATTCCGGTCTGTCTTCATTAAGAGTTTTCGGCTTGTGATAACTTAATAGCAAGTATGATTATATTTTTAGGGTTCAAATAAAACGCCCAAAGGCGGATAGAACAGTGGTAGTGATGTCCATCATCATGAGCATGGTGCAAGTTAGATTACGCACCGGGCCAACCAAGCCTCTAATCCCTCGGGATCGGGAAATTGGCACCGGACTTTTCTGGGAAGGAGCACTCTCTGCAATCCAATTGGGACACTCCAGCCCGGCTATCTCAGGACTTTAGGGAGAATTGCTCGACCAACATTCTGCGACATTCAAGATGAAATGAAAATCCTCAAGCTGCAACCAATACTGCACGTGAAAGCTTGGAAGACCTTCGTGGACGATGTACGCCGTGACGTGAAGACGGATCAAATAGAAATAAAAATAAAAACAAATAAAACGCCTAGAACCGACAGCGTAGCAGTCGTTTCCCAGATTTGGACAATGAATCCAGGACAACGTGGGAAATATCAAAGTCAGAAGCCTTTCCTTATTTTAAGTGTCGTTAGGATATTGGTAGAAACTGACAACAAAGACATTGTTCCCAATAATCAACAAACGAACTCACTCAAATAATCCTTTTCGATCAGCCATAATGAGGTGAGCATTACTCATCCTACCGATGGAATCCTGTCTTAGATATTTAAGGAAGAAATCCACCATGTCATCGGTCTGAACAACAAATAGTGTTTACAAGCAAACAAAAAACCTAAATATTGAAGAGGCATTCCGTAGGAGCCGTGTCAAAGTCGTCAGGAGAACTCTTTGGAAACGTCATTGCTTCTTCGTTGTGATCGAAGTGAATGTCCGGGTCAAATATTACCGAATATTCATCGCCATCTAGATCACTTCCTTAAGCACACGAATCATTAAAAAGTACTAACTATTTGAAGGTGCGCACAGCAAATGAGATATACCGGCCATTTCATCAGGATGAGGTCGAGGACCATGTCTTGGGAAAACGACGACGTCGAATAGGTGAGCTAGAGCTGGTTGATAGACAGCTGTGAACATCCTAACATCTCCAGCCACATGACATGGGTTCTTTGTGATCATAACTGGACCTAAACTGCTGCATTTTCAACGTCGTATAAAACTCATAAGTAAAAGCATACTTCATTCATACCTGTATAAATTTTCAATTTCCCATTAGCCTTCCTGACAGATACAGAATATTGAATGAACACCTGTCCGTATTGTAACAGACCAGTCTCGTCGAAAACGCCATACATGGATCGACCAAGTGAAGGCGGGAGAAAAATTTTAGCCTTAACATGCGTGAAAATAAACTCGTGAATTTCTTATTAATGAAGTTATTGACTGCACCTATACCTTACTTAGATGGTTGTTAATATTGTATCGATAAACAGAGACCAGAATTCGTCGTAAGAATGGTTCATTTGTGATGCAAATACCGCACTCTCTGAGGCGAACAAAATTAATAGGTAGATTTAGGCGGAGAGTGAGTTCGTCGGCGGCAACGGAATCATCCAGAAGCATAGCTAGCGAGGAATCAATTAATCTTGTAGAGCGATAAAAGAACATAAATACTACACTACCTCCAAGCTGCGACAATTCTGTTTCGAGGTAATAATGAACCTTAGCGCATAGCTTTTTATGGAGGCATTTAGATTGCTTCTCTGTCACCTATAACGAATTAAATAAATACTAGAAACAAAGGTCAATAAACTAACCTGGTCCAAAATTGTGATGAGTGGGCGGTTGAGGCACACCGCGGAAGGCATGGAGTACTTGACAACCTCAATATCATAAGGAGTGAATATAATACTTTTTAAGATCCAACAGTATTTAAGTACAACTACATGTTTATTCAAGGAAGAGAAAGAGAAGATCCCAGAGGATCATGAACGATAGCTAAAATATTCAAATTACTTGTTGACATACCTCGAGAATATTGTTCTCTTGTTCATCACACCTTTCTTTAAATTTCATTTGACTTTTTCTAAAAGATTTCAGTCCTCAGTTTAGCATTGGATACACATTGGGAGATTTAGTATAATAGATTAAGATTCTGCAAGGATGGTTACCTAAAGACAATTTTTGGGCCATTTGTCACTAAATCAAGAGACGGGTCAATTGCTAGCACGCCTTTGAAACCTTTGAAACGAACCTTAAAAGTGGGTAATTTTTTTAGAAACTGAAAAATAATACACCTATAAAAAAAAGAATTCAAAGAAAATTATTGACCTGGTAGCAACTGGGAATAATGTCTAACTGTAGAGCTAATGCAATACGCCGAGCAAGGGATGGAGCAACTCGACCACATCCATCCGAAAAGCAATAAGATTCACCAGTTTCGGGATGGCCAGCTCCTCCTTCAACGTCGTCTTGCACGGAGCATTCACTCGGTAAAATCGTCACCGTAGGCTGCAAACATAGTGGACCAGTTACGAAATGCTGTCTGAAACAAACAGAAGAATTGGAAGATGTCACACTTGAGCTTGCGTAAAACATTGACCCATTCTACTCATCAATTTCGGGACGTTCTTGGTACCACTGAAGTCGCCCATCCACTTTCGCATGTCCTCAACAGTCATGGACACATCACCTGTTCGACAATCCAACGTCGGTGCATACATATAACAGCCGTGGTCACGCATCTGAAATACAACGGTGTGACTACAATGTGAGAGTGAACTTCTACCAATTATAATTATAACAGTATAAACCTTTATAAATAAAAACCACTATAACAAAAAATAGTGAAAGATGAAACCATGGCGATCGTCTAACTCACTGATAGATACATCGAAGAGCAAACCTGTGAATTACTCCACGCCAGAAAGTGATAATGACGATTGTTAATTTGCAGACCATGTGAAAGAGTTTTTTGCACAATATTGGCCACAATGGAAGATTGCTCTAGAAGAAAAGTTGATGCGTAGAACTCCTTTTAGTGAGTGAGTAAGAAATTATGAAAGGTTACGGTCATAACATGGGCCTTGAACGAAATCCTTGACAATGAGTTTAGCACCAGAATCATCACGAAAGACACAGCGCAGAGCGTTTTCCTCGCCGAAACGACGCACTACACGATTCGTCATCATCACTTCTGGAGCCATAAATAGTGTTTTGAGCGGTGTCACCATCACCTATAATTTGTACAACGTTTTGCTAAGTTTTATGGTCACATCTACGTTCGTCTTCCATATTTCCTCTACCGTATCTTAAAACGAGCGTGTAGCGCAGTGGTCGCAAGCGCCCTGCAGCACACAAGTGGAATCGATTCCCGCGCTCCTAGCCCAACAAGCCTTCTATCCCACCGAGGTCGGCAAATTGGTACCAGATTTGTCTGCGAGGATAGCAGCACTGGCTCGATACATCGGTAGATCACCGCCAGTCATTGTAAAGGCCAGATATGCATTCAATCCCTTCCTACTATCCTTAGTGAAGGCAAATGCATGGCGTTCTCCTCAGGGATTGATCAACGCCCAGGGCTTTGTGCCTTAGCCTTTTTTATGTCTTAATACACCAAAATCACCTCAGAAAAACGACTGGACAAGTTCACATTACTATATCTCCGAATGAATACATATATATATATATATATATATATCCATGTGTATTTAAAATTGTAACGTCTTTAACTGAATAGACTTAGTATTCACAGACACAGACCTTTCTTACAAGGACACAGTTTCGCGGCAATGACTTCCTCAAATCACGAACATCCCCGCGTTGGCATCGTTTTATTGCATGAACACGAACCTACATTAACCATGGAAATAGGGATACATATATGTGCACTGAAATGGAGTTAAGATTACGAACCGTGTACATCTGATGAAAGGCTCGCAGTAATTCCACCGTTCTTCGTTCATCTACAGCACATAACAAATTCTCTAGCGCTTCCTCGCAAGCGCGACTGCATTCCTGATATGGAATTGAAGTTGTTGGAGTCCAATACAATATTTAAACAAACCGTACTTTCATACACCAGCGAACGCGTTCAAAAAAGAGGTGGCTGTCTATCAGCTCACCATCGGCTCCCCTCTTACATTCGTCCAATAAAAGTTGGTCGGATACAGTGCATCCCCGGGAAACCAATGCCTATCATTTCAAAAAGATATGTACGTGATAAAATAATGTAAAACTTTATGAAGCATCACAACAACCTTAGCTGCATAGTCAGCGCGAAAGGACCCGACATCTTTGACACTAACTTCTGGGGGAAGACCACGTCTTGTCGTGAACACAGAGCCGAAGTAAATTCTCGAACTTGAGCGCTGCATCAAACGTGAGATGATCGAAAACAGCTCATAAGTTGGCTGCTGAAACCAGTACTTTTCAATAACATACTCAAACATTAATTAAATGAAGTCACTTATTAATTACTCTATACAACGACAACGTTGCTCAGATATTTGCAAAACTCCACACCGCAGGTGTCTGCGGTGGGGAACGAACCCGCATGGTGTGGTGGTGAACGCCTTACTCCCCGGAAAGGACAATAGCGCGTTCGTTCCCCATCGCAGACACCTGCGGTCCGGAGTTTTGCAAATATCTCAGCAACGTTGTGGTTGTATTTCGCATAGCACCCTGCCGTGAAAACTGTAGTAAGCAGAAAATAAAAGGTAAAAATTGTAGTTGCTCTATCATTGTATTTATATCCATGACCCATTTTCTCATATTCTGCCTGCCCCGATACATTATTCAATCGGTCCGTTGTCTCGCGTTCGTCATCCATGCGTGTCTTTGGATTTACGTGTGGAACTTGCTGCTACTTGGGAATTTGTTCTTCTTCATAAATTATAGCTAATGAAAGTGATTCTCATTCGAGCCCTGACTTAGCTCTGCTAGAACGTATCCATGTTTTCACCATAGGCAGGCAGCAGAATTTAATTAAACCAATTTACCTATCCTGGAAGGATGGATGGGCTTGTTGACCTAGTGGAGGCCGAACCAGCGACTATGAGTTTTGCGCGGTGTCTCAAACCAGTGCGTTTTCCGTGCCCTAACAGTTATGTAATAAACCAAATAGGCAAAGGACATCCCAAAGAATTACCACGACTCTGGCGAATCTGCACAAGATTGACTAATCAACTTTACTGAATACGGATCACCACCACAGACTGCCATTTATCCATTCCACCTAGGCGCCTTTTTTCTTCGCTGGTCCACACGCAATCTTCCGTGCGTACGTTCCGGTTTTTTGACAACAAAAAAATCATTTCTCAATAAATAGAATGCTTCAGGAGTTGTGGACATGACCGAATTATAGAAGAGACTTTAACAGCTGATTGTTAGTCAAATTACCGGACAATGAGATTCCACGAAGGAAGGTTTTTCGTAAATCACTTATTGTATATAATGGTTTTTCTACTCTTATCCCTGCTGCTGTGATCTGCTTTCGATTAACTAACGATTCGATTAGTCGATTCGCCAGTGGAAAATACATGCTGTGGTAAAAAAGTTCTGGAACCCGGAAATGGCCACCAGAGTATCCATGCAGTCGTTTAGACCAAATTGATATAGACACTACAGTGGACGGAATGAGTTAAAATGAGGCAATAAATCTTCATATCGGCTCCTGAATCACCGTTGAAGAAGCCACTGCTGATTCTTTTATACAAGTTCAGCCTGAGCTAGAGAACATAAAAAACTGGACTTCTTAAAGGCAAAGAAATATTAAGGCCACTTTTTTGCGAACCGAAATTCTCCAACTACAGTGGTTCCACTGCATGGGTACGCAAGTCGAACGTAGATTGACACTGGAGCAACTTCGAAAACGATAATAGGTAAAATGTCAACAAACATATGAAGCAAGGCACCATATGAGAGATCCAAAAAAAGTATCCCATCCTAGTAATCACAATTTATATCTGAAATGAAGCAATGGGAGCAAGACGACAAATTACGACGATAGAGACGAGAGAAGAACGATGGACTGAACAAAAAAAGGAAAGCATATACGATGGAGGCCACCTAGAAAGTGGACAGCTCTGTAGACAACGGTGAGCTGCCGTACACAAAGCTATTCTATTGATAGTAAACAAGAATGAACCAGCTCCGTGGATGATGTCGGGTCGGTGATGGAACGAAAAACGATAAACTACGACTTGGCCAGTACAATTCAGAATCAAAAAATCAAATAATTCACTTCGTCCTCGTCCTCGTTTCGCTTCGGAAATGTCGCACGAAGAAATTGGCAATCAGCTAAAGCTTCGCTTGAGCAACCACTCGATCGCACGTCACCTGGCCACTTAAGCACTCGAACCTGAGAATTAGTAAAAACAAAAAATAGTGTGACCATGTGACCACTTAAATGAATTAATAGAAATACGGTAATTAATGCAAGAAACCAATAAAGGCAACAACACACCCATTCTTTGCACTGCTCCATATTTACAACAGGTCGAATTCCACTACGACACTGCTGTGAGCGTGGTACAGCTTGCCAAACCTTGAATAGTAAATTAAATAGAAAGTTTAAGAACGTCATAAATTTATATTGGCTGGCAAATTTTACTAGTGAAATAAAACAAGAAGAAAAAGACTTTAGGAGAGCAACCGTTTACCTGAGGTGGATACTTCAGGCGCAGATATAGAGTATTGTTGTGGGTATCACTGGTATCAGCAGTAATCTAATAATTCGAGGATTACAAAAAGAACGCCGATGAAATGAACTGCGTTACCGTACCTGAGTTATAGCACCGTATGGCAAGCAAATTTTGTATGCAGCAAATCTGAGTCCATCCATTTTTTCCTCTAAGGTATCAGATTCAAAGAGTAAAGAAAAAACGGCATAGCAACCACTGAACACTTACCACATTCACATAGTCGCACTGCAAAGAATAGCGTAAGATATCTTCTATCGTGTTCAAAATGAGCATATGACAAGAACGGTTGTCCTCCTGAACGATCAAATGAGGTGTTACCTTGTAGGAGAATGGAGATTAGATGAAGGAAGCATGCCTGCCACTTTCAACTGGGAAGTGAGGTCATTCTGTTTCGTAGGATTGGTTTCGCCAAATCGCATACCGCAATTTATGAAATAACTTAAAATAACTTCGGCTTTATGAAGAAAGATAAAAACTATGATTCAGAAAAAAAGTAGACCTGTTAGAAACCTCATTGTAGTTTGTAATATAGTCGCCACGGACAAAGAATAATCCTGGATTTGGCATACTACCGATAGCCATACTCGTTAGTGTTACGTTATTGTGTTGAGGTCTTCAAAAACAATAAGCGGGGTAATTCATTCTATTTACGAAATGCAAGTGTCATTAAAATTATTAGTTAGCAATCCTGTACGTTTTGCGTTGAAACCAAAACTCGGGTAAATAAATAGAACTAACCGAACTTCTCCAAAAATACTTTTAATCACAGGGAACTCGGCCACAATCTGATCGTGGAAGCCTCCACCAAAGAAGTAACAAAGTTTTTGGATGAAGCGCACTAGCATGGTATCACTGGAATAGCATCCTCATAAGACCGACTTTCTATGAATCTCTACATAGTAATCGATAGATGCGAGGTAGATGTAGATATTCTTACTGTTGTTGTTGTCTTTGTTCAATGCTTAACTTTTCGTCGGCTTCGCTTTTCTCAGAGCCCTGATATTGGACAACCGGTGTGTTGTTCACGAGCAATGTTGAGCACTCTCGTCAGGGGCGGTTCAACGGCAATGCTCTGAGGAAGGCGAAGTCGAGGAGACGTTAGCGATTGAACAAAGACAACAACAATAATAAAGACATCTATACCAAGCTCCCACGGATCTCCCTCATATGGGGAATTTCGAGCCGGTAAGTCGCGAGGCTGCGTGGCTGGCACGTCTCCAGGTGGCAGATAGGAGGTTAATAGTGGACCAAAAGCGACATTTGCTTCCCTGAGACGCAGGTGGATCCAAAAGATCGACTTCCTGCTTCTGTCGCGCCAATTTGGCACACACTTTCTGTATTTGCTAGGCGTATCCATGCTTGCGTGTGTGGGTGCGTTCGCGCTTATGCGGAGTGTATTCTACGAGTCATTTCGGCCAAAAGCCTGCAATCAAGTCACAGGGACAAATATGGAAGGCGGTTAATAGTCGCCTCCAACAAATAAGCTCTATGTCCACTCTCGGACAGCCTGGCAAGCTACACGCGAGTATACCTAACCCCACGTTCAGAGCCCAGCGAACTATACGTAGGTGTGCAAAATGCTAAGCACAGTGAAAAAAAACGTGCCTAATCCCTTGACCCCGAAAAAGCCCCAATTTCACAGCGGTGGATGGGACGAATACGGAGAGGCTGCTAAAATCTCAGGGCCAATGGAAGCTGCCTGGATTTCAAAGAACTATTGTGACGATCTGTACCTACAATGCACGTACACTTGCATCCGAGTCCTCGATAGAAGAAGTACTCATGCAAGCAAGAAGGATAAGGTACGACGTCATCGGCCTGGCCCAGACGAGGAGACGCCAGCCTTTCAACGCCGTCTATGACACCGGAGAAGAACGGATCCTCGGAACATGCGATAGCAGAGGAGTCGGCGGTGTCGGCGTTCTCGCCAGCACGAGTTTGTCCATGAACATCGGTTCATTCGAACAACTTACAACCCAAATCAGACATTTACGATTAAAAAGACGTGGATCAATTTCGGCTTTGACAATCTTCGTCGTTTATGCGTCGACATCAAACTATGACGAAGAAGAAGTCGAAGCGTTCTATATGGACTTTGAGAAGTTCTACAGAGAAGACCATACATCCTTCAAGGTCATCATTGGAGATTTCAACGCCAATATTGAACCAATAGGAACGTTTTAAGAACGTCACATTGGGACCCACGAATTGGAATGGAACGAACAAGGTGAGCGGCTTTCTGAGTTTATCATAGCGAACAAGGCCATCCATAGTAACTCGCAATTCCAGAAGCCACACCCTCAACGCTGGACGTTGGAGTCTCCCAATGGAGGGTACCATAGCGAAATAGACCACATCACAGTAACTAGAAGGTTTTGCTTAACCGATGCCGCTGTCGTCCCAAAATTCTACACGGTATCAGACCACCGTCTCCTTCGTGCAAAATTGCAAGATTCTACTTTTCGCGGAAAGGAGAAAAAGCCGCTAAATTCAAAAATAGATTTCGCAGAACAACAGTAAACTGGGACTTGTTCAATTCAAGAATACGAACAGCTCATTCAACATCTCCACGTTAGCTCTATGAAAGCTAAGAGTTCGAAAGTCACCAAGAGACGTTTGTCTCCAGAATCACTCGAGCTGATACACCAGCGTGGAATCGCACGAGCTGAAGGCAACCGCGAAGTAACGTTAGAACTTGCAAAAGAATGCAGAGGGGCGATAAAAGATAAAAGAAGATCTTAAATAGAGAAGAGTAGCAGCAATGGCCGAAGCTGCAGAAGCTGGGAAAAGCATTGGCAAAGCCCACCGAAGGTTCGCCAATTACAAGACCATGATGATTGCGCTCCATTGCCCAGACGGAACAGTTACAACCTCCAAAAAGGCAATGGAGAAAATCATTCGCGAATACTTCGCTGATTGCCTTGATAACCACGTCCACCTTCCGTCATATGAATTAAATGAGGACGGATATGTTGTATCACCAGTTTTCCCTTCCGAAGTCCGACATGCTATTCCACGGGTGAAAAGTCGAACAGCACCAAGTCCGGACAGGATATGATCAGAACACAACATAGACGTCAGAAGAGGGGTTAGGCAAGGTGATTCCATGTCGTCAAAATTATTTACCGCCGCTCTCCATAACGTCATGCGAAAATTGGAATGGGATAATATGGGCGTGAAAATCGTTGGTCGGCAGTTTCATCATCTTCGCTTTGCTGATGACATCATCCTTCTAACACCAAACATTAGCCATGCAGAATGTATGCTTGCCGACTTTGATAAAGCCTATGGAAAGATTGGTCTTCCACTAAATCTCACAGAAACGATGTTAATGAGGAACGGATTGGCTTAGTATGCCCCATTCACGCTCAACGGAACGAATATCTTGGAATGCTTCAGTGATGTCTATCCAGGTCGGGAAATCAATATGATGAACGACTTAACTCCAGGGTTGAATAGAAGGAAACGAGCAGCTTGGAAAGCTTTCAAGAGCATCGAGGATATAATGAAGAAAAAGAAGAACAGCCGACTCCATGCCCACGTTTTCGACTCAACGGCAGTTCCTGCCCTAATGCGTCAGAAACTTGGTCGCTGCGTAAGCAGGATGAAAGATCACTCAGCGTTATCGAACGCGCAGTCGAAGGGACGATGCTTGGAGTATCTCGTTTCACATAAGCAAGGGATGTGATCCGAAGCTCCGACCTACGTCAACGATCAAAAGTCAGAGATGCCGTTTTGTGCGCCAAACAGTCGAAGATAACGTGAGCCGCACGCGTAATACGTGTTAATGACAACCGATGGACAAGAGCCGTTAGTGACTGCATTCCTCGGGATGTCAATCGTACTGCAGGAAGACCACCGACCCAATAGTCAAAGTTTTTCACGAAGAGCTTAGTAGAAGGATATGGTGCTCGACGAATCCCTAGAGCGAGCAGAACCCACCGAGTTACTTTTGCACGCGATAAGGAAAAATGGAAGATCTACTGGCGCCTGCTCGAGTCACTCGATGATTAGCGTGACTACAGGTGATACCAACCTCGCGTGGGCTAAAAGAGGCAGTTCGGAAAAAAGTGTGTGCAGTGTCTCTCATAGATCGCAGAAGGTAGGCTCAGATTAATACTCACTGCTCTTCGTCAGCTATGGGAGCGACGACAATCTGGTACCAGTATTCGCACGCCTGCTCTTCATAGTCGGCCCGAGGAATCGGTGACATACGTTTTAATACAGAATTAGTGCCTCCGCTCTTGAAAATAAAGTTACAGCAGCATGGGAAAAGTTTGCCACAATAAATACTAGCGAAATACCTTAAGAATTATTCTTGATAAAATTTTTGTAGATAAGGCCGGTGGCCCAATATGATTTGGAACGATAAATTTCACGGTGAAATCAAGATCACCACTTCTAAATACAAAAATAAATTAGCTGCTATAAAATTTGCTAGAAGAGAAAAAACAGAAAAATTGCATATTGCATGTTAAGGATAGAAGAATTAGAAGGGTGAGAACAGAAAAGTTACTACCTCCACTCACTTGGACACTTGGATGGCCCGTCTTCATTGGTTGTGCGGAACCCAGCTAAATTTCCATTCTCTTGGAGTTTTGCTGGCTTTTCCCCTGTGGTTCCCTGAAGCCCTGAGGTCAGCCTAGCCAAAGTCTTCTTCTGGTCCTCACCATAACAGGAAGTTGCAGTGGATCAGAGAAAGATCTGCCAACGTGGGACTAGTTTGACACCAGGATGGTGGTGGATCCTGTTATTGGTTTTCGTTCACCTCCCAATGGTCTGCCGCCTCATCATGGCTGGGAGGTTTTTCTGGGTGTCGGGCTGTGTTGTACAGGGGGGAAACATCTCCTCCGCAGGGTCTCTTCAGCTGAGAAGGAGTTCAGCGTTTCAATCAGGAAGCTCAGCTAAGAATAAACCAAAACCAATGCCAGGAGCTAATACCAAGATCCACTAACGTATAAGACAAAGAAAATGCTGACTGATGGTACGCCGTGGTTCTGGTAGCAGACGCATTGCAAGCAAATGATGGTGTACTCAAACCATTCGACTCAGCACTTCTTAGGAACGAATTTCTAACGTCTTGTGGTTCTGAAAGTAAACTATTTAAGTCTATCCCGATTTTATGTCTGTGCAAAAACGATGTTGCATAAGTACGACAGTAAAAACGCAACCTTCACGCCATTGTCGAGGATCGACATCCAGAAATGAATCAGATTCGTCCGAGACAAGATCGGGAGGAGAAGATGAATAAAGCACTGACGTTTTACTCAACGACGCTTAAATACTGTAACTAAGATATCTAATAGATAAATACGTTCAACAATGACTACAGAAAGAAAGCGCTCTGAAACAAGGAAATGAGCTAGTCTGACATGACGTCTGACTCTCCGCTACGAATTACTAGCAATTACTTGGTGAGTGATTTACCTTCGCTTATAGACTCGTCTGGATAACTCACACTCGCACCATCCAGAGATGAAGAATAGAGAACGGATTCTGATGATGAGTGATACGAAACTGAGGCGCTACTTGAGAGATTATCCTATCGTTTTGAAAAGAAGCATCAGTTGAAAAAAACCAAATATAACCCGACAGTTACGTTACCCGAGTTCGATGCGTATGGAGGTTATGGCCCTCCAGTGCATCCTTGTAGATAAAACTTTCATCCGACAATTCCTTCGAAGCCCATTGATCTGCTGAGCATTCGTTGACTTCGCTGGTTCCATGATGGTGAAGTGCATCTTGTGCTCTTTGTAATCTTACAGCAATATACTGGAAAAATTGAACTGGAAAAGAAAAACAGTGACAATTACGAAATGTTACGTCACACCTGTCCGTCTAATAT